CCACATAAGCAGAAAAAGTCAGAAGTGGCACTGTGTTTCAGTTGGTGGAGTGCTCACCTTGAGCTGAAGACTGAGGGACAGCATCCAGGCCCAAGAGTTCAGGCCCCACCACTGATAAAAAAAAAAAGTCTCAAGTTTTTTCTGCCTGAGCTGCTTTTTAACTGTGATCCTCAGAGCTCAGTCTCTTGAATAGCCAAGATTACAGGTGTCAGCCACCAACACACAGCAGCATTTTAAAAATTAGGATTGTTATTTTTTTTGGTTGAGGGATTTAAACTCTGGGCCTGGGTGCTGTCCCTGAGCTCTTTGCTCAAGGATAGCTCCACTTCCGGTTTTCTGGTGGTTAAGTGGAGATATGAATCTCACAGACTTTCCTGCACAGGAACCACGATTCTCAGCCTATGTAGCTAGGATAACAGACTTGAGTCTCCAGTACACAGCTAGATCTATCCACCTTCCTTCCTTCCTTCCTTCCTTCCTTCCTTCCTTCCTTCCTTCCTTTCTTTCTTTCTTTCTTTCTTTTTTCTGTCAGTTGGGGGTCTTGAACTCTGAACCTGGGCATTGACCCTCAGCTCTTCAGCTCAAGACAAGCACTGTACCACTTGAGCCACAGCACCACTTCCGGTTTTCTGGTGGTTTATTGGAGATAAAAGTCTCACGGACTTTCCTGACCAAGCTGGCTTGAACCATGATCCTCAGATCTCAGCCTCTTGAGTAGCTAGGATTATAGGCATGAGCCACCAGCGCCCGGCTAGAACTTTTTTACTATCATAAATAGTTGTACAAGGGAGGTTTCATTGTGAGATTTCCTTACATATACAATGTACCAGCCTCATCCCTTTTATTACTCATGACTCTTAAAACAGAATCAACAAGTTTCATTATTATAGTTTCATATGTACAAATAAAGTTCTTTGACCATATTCACCCTCATTTACATTCTCCAGAATACTGCTTATTTGTGTGTGTGTGTGTGTGTGTGTGTGTGTGTGTGTGTGTGTGTGTGTGTGTGTCCATATTAGGTCTGGAACTTAAGAGTCTCACACTGTCCCTCAGCTTTTTCTCTCACAGTTGACTCTACCACTTGAGCCACCCGTCTACTTCCAGCTTTTTTTTTTTTTTGTCAGTTTTGGGGTTTAAACTCTGGGCCTGAGCACTATCCCTCAGCTCTTCAGCTCAAGGCTATAGAGCTCTACCACTTGAGCCACTGCACCACTTCCAGCTTTTGGGTGGTTAATTGGAGATAAGAGTCTTACAGGACTTTCCTGCCGGGGCTAGCTTTGAACTACAATCCTCACATTTCAGCCTCCTGAATAGCTGGGATTACAGGTATGAGCCACTGTGACCACCTGGCCTAGAATTCTTAATCTTCCTGCCTCAGCTTCCTAAATGCTGGAATTACAGAAGTGCATCATTACACTCACCCTGTCTTCTCTTTTATTATTTGTGCTGTTTTCCCAAGAAATGGCATAGGATATGATTGCTTCTAGGAGACGTCATTCCATTTTTGCCTTAGGGACCCTTCTTCACTATGTTGATGTGGATACTGGGACAGAGATATCCTGGAGCCAAGGGAATGACAGCATCGTTCAGGTTAGGCAAAAGGCAGTGGGTAGGTAAAGTTCCATCCACATGTTGCCTCCTTCCTAGGTTCTCTGGCAGCAGACAGGAAGTGAGGGATCCCTCATTGTATATCCTTGGATAGGCTACCTTAGTCTGTGGCCTCACCTCCGGAAAGAGGCTATCTTAGATAATCTAGAGCTGGGTGTGTGTGTGTGTGTGTGTGTGTGTGTGTGTGTGTGTGTGTGTGTGTGTGTGTGTGTGTGTGTGTGTGTGTGTGTGTGTGTGTGTGTGTGTGTGTGTGTGTGTGTGTGTGTGTGTGTGTGTGTGTGTGCGCGCGCCCCTTTGGCTTGAACTCAGGGCCTAGGTACTGTTCCTGTGCTTTTCTGTTCAAGGTTAATGCTCTACCTCTTGAGCCACAGAACTGCTTCTAGCTTTTTGTGGTTAATTGAAGATAAGAGGCTCATGGACATTCCAGCCCAGGCTGGCTTTGTACCACAAACCTAAGATCTCAACTTCCTGAGTAGCTAGGATTGCAAGCATGAACTACTAGCACCTGGCTAGGGCTGGGATTCTTAATCGCGGGCCTATGATCCCCAGAAATTGAGTGCACAGCGATGGGAGTAGTGCATTGTTTTGGCCATAGCTTTAACTAGCTTTTCCAGAAGGTTGTGCCAGGTGCTGCTGGTGGCTCAGGCCTGTAATCCTAGCTACCATTTCAGGTTGAAGCCAATCTGGTTAGGAAAGTCTGTGAGACACATCTCTAATTAACCACCAAAAAGCTGGAAGTAAAGCTGTGGCTCAATTGGTAGAGCACCAGCCTTGATGGAAAAAAGCTAAGGGACAGTGTCCAGACCCAGTACTGGCACCACAAAAGAATGAGAAGGAGAAAAGGAAGAGGAGGAGGAAGAAAAAGGAAGAAGAAGGATTCAATCAATTGACAGGCTCCTTGCTAGTCTTAAAAATACCCCAGTCCTGTGGTGGCATCTCTTCCTGCCCCTAGGGGAATACAGCCCCAGAGCTACTTTCCTGACTCAGAGAATCTAGGAGGCCTAGCCCTGAGCCTATGACTCAAAAGGCTTGTCAGAGCTCAGCCTGGGAGCAGCCCCCCACTGGTCCACTCTGTAGGGAACTCAAGGGGAGTTCTGCAGGCTGTCTAGAGGCAGCAGGGAAAGAACACCAAACTTGGTGGAAGTTGTCCTGTCAGAGAGGCCCCACGTGGTCCAGGCTGCAGGAAACAGGGCAGGGAGAGGAACTAGGGTTGAGGGGCCTTCTTTCTCCCATCTGCAAAGCATCCGTGGGACAGGCTGGTGGGGGCTCATGAGGGGGCCAGGGAGGAAATGAGAATAAACACAGAGAGGGAAGGGTGGGGGGCTGTGGCCTCAGCCCCTTGGCAGCCCATGAAGGGAAGTGACACAATGAGGAATGTGTTTCCCTCTGCCTGTCCTGTATGGGGGTGGGAGGCAGGGCTCTGAGAATGGCCAGACCCCAACAAGGGCCAAGGGGCACAGGGGCAAGCAAGGAGGGGGTGGAGCCTGGCAGTCAAAGGGGGTCTCTAGGGAGAGTGGCCTCGGCAGGGAGCATTTATCCCTTGTCCCCTCTACACCACAGGCAGTGCGTTCTAGGCTCTTCCCTAGCACATTCGCCACTGGTGGCCAGGGCTGAGGATGCCTTCCTGGCACTCTGGATTCTAGGAATCTGGCCCTGCTGGTGGCTTTCCCTCCTTTTTGGAGACTCTGGGGGCCATTTGAGCCCTTCACAGAAATAGTACTGAGGCAGAGGAACCCTGCTCTCCCCCCATCTTTCTCAATCTCTCCTCTTCTTTTTTCCTCTTCTCTCCCCCTCTCTCCTTCCCTCCCTCCCTTCCTCCCTCCCTCCTGCTTTGTGAATCCCCAACTGGGAATAGACAAACAAGCCCCCTGTTGGGACAGCACCTCCCTCATCCCTGCCCAACACCCATTTCCTCTTGCCCAGCAGGGAGCTGACTCTGTTAACTCCTTCACGCCCACACCCAGAGCTGTTCCTGTGGCTGTGGCCAGCAGAGCCAAGGACTCCCAGCCCCTGTATGAGCCAGGGGTGGCAGGGCCTTGGAAAGCTGGTTGACCCCAGGTATCTGTCACTGTCCTGACTTCCTGCCTCAGCAGCCCCTCCCTGATGGGGGTTATTCCAGCAGTCTCCCACCCTTGCCTTCTGCCTTCTCTCCAAGGCACTTAAGTGGGGCAGAAAAGATGCCCATTGAGCAGTGAGCCCCTGGGAAGTGCCCTGTGGGGCCTGGGAAAGCCAGGGTGGCCCTTGAGTGATGGTACTCTCTAAGCACCTCTCTTCCTGGCTATGCCCAGCATGGAGGATGCAGTACAGAAGCTGGATGGGCTCTCAGTGGTCCGCTTAAGAGCCCAGAGGACTGTGTGTCAAGTGGTAGGGTGGGCCTTCTCAGTTAATAGGTGCCAGTAGTCAGAAACTGTCTAGAGCAGAGAGTTTGAGAGACCAGATTAAGGCAGAGGCTGCTGTGAGTATTTGCTTGCAATTCAGCCCTCCATGCAGATGGAGTTTGGCACCCAGGGCCATTTCTGTCCTGTGACCTGCTCAGTCTTCAGGCACCTTCCTTGTTCCCTTCTTTTAGCTCTGGGCTTCGAAGAACCCGACTGGAAAAGGTAGGGCTAAGGAGCTTGGCTAAGCAATAGCCCTCTGGGCTTCATCTGAAGAGTGAGGAGGCTGGACTGATGATCTCAACCCTGCCTGGAGCTTAGATTGGGCAGATTCCAGTTGCCTAGCTACAAGCCAGTTGACCTGTTTCCTTCCAGGGTCCACGGAGAGGCCTGAGGTAGACCCACATGGGAGGTAAAGGCTCCCGGCTCCCAGCTCCCAGCCCAGAGCTCTGTCCACTCCATTTCCAGAGTTCCTCCTTCCTCCACGCCCTTCTCATCCCACCTCTCAAGCTCTTCCACCATCCCTAACATTATTCTGACCCTTGGTGGTAATCAGGCAGGCTGAAGAGATCTATCTAAGGAGAAGCAGAGGTTTATTACTTTGTGTGTGTGTGTGTGTGTGTGTGTGTGTGTGTGTGTGTGTGTGCACGTGCGCGTGTGCGCACATGTGTTTTGATACTGGGGCTTGAACTCAGCCTAGGTGCTGTCTCTTAGTTTTTTTGCTCAAGGCTGACACTCTAGTACACCTTCACTTCCTGCTTTTTTTTTTGCTGGTTAATTGGAGTCTCACAGAATTTCCTACCCTGACTGGCTTTGAACTTTGACCTTCAGGTTTCAAAGTCCTGAGTAGCAAAGATTACAGGGCCAATAGGATCCAGCCTTTGAGAACAGAGGTTTAGAAGGAAACAAAGTCCCAAAGAAAGCTAATACCTGTGGTGACAATGGTCGCCCAGGAAGCATCCAGTGGCCCCCAGATGGTGAGAGGGGTGAGAGCCTCCCCACTGTCTCCCACAGGGACCTGAGGAACAATGTCATCAGTATGGTGCAGCCTGGAGCCTTCTTAGGCCTGGGGGAACTGAAGCGCTTGTGAGTGGCATGGCCCCCCACCAAACCTAGCCTTCCCCCCCCAAAACCCCTCCCCCCGGAGAAAGACCCAGATCCCATGAGCATCCACCCATCCTGCCTACCCCCCCTACCCCTTGTTCCTTCTCAGCCTACCAACTTTCACTCAGGACATTTGTGGGGCCAAATGTGTGGGCATTCCTGGGCCCACTTTGGCCCTCGTTCCAAGCCCCCCCCATGAGCCCCAGCCACCCACGTGTGCTCCTCACAAGTGAATCCTTGTGTTACCATGTAACCAACTTCCTGAGTGTGTCTCTCTAGAGATCTCTCCAACAACCGGATTGGCTGTCTCACCTCCGAGACCTTCCTAGGCCTCCCCAGGCTTCTGAGACTGTGAGTGACAGGGTAATGTGGGAGGAAGGGTGAGAGGTGGGAGAGGGAAGCACGGACTGGACCGAAGGTCCAGGAGGGAGAAGCAATGCAGACCCTTACAGGACTTGTTATTCTCTCTTCCCACCCCTCCCCTCTGCCCCAGAGAGACCCTAAAATCCTGACCCACTGTTCCCTGCCCCCTGCAGAAATATATCTGGAAACATCTTCTCCAGTCTGCAACCTGGGGTCTTTGATGAACTACCAGCCCTTAAAGTGGTGTGAGTATCTTTCCTAGCCAGGAGCAGCCCTTGGCTCTGGAGGAGACAGACAGCTAAGATCATAGCCACAATGGGCGGCCTGCTGTGCAGGCAACCAGACACTGCCAGATTCACAGTATCTGGGGTGGGGAACACACGTGCCAAGGCTGCCCCCTGCAGCCCTGCCAGGCTCAGTCCCATCCCCACCCCCAGAAACTCCCACTACCTCTGCTCTACTCCATGACCCCTCTGCTGGCCCCACAGGGACTTGGGCACTGAGTTCCTGACCTGTGACTGTCACCTGCGCTGGCTGCTTCCCTGGGCTCGGAATCACTCCCTGCAGCTGTCAGAGCACACACTCTGTGCCTACCCCAGCTCCCTGCATGCCCAGGCCCTGGGTAGCCTTCAGGAGTCCCAGCTGTGCTGTGGTGAGCAAACCCTGGGTCTGTATATCCACCAAGGACCACCTGCCTGACTCCAGGCCCAGGCACAGAGCCCTGCCCTTCATCCACACCCAGAGGCTTAAGGCCCCCAAGTGTTTGTGTGGTTGGTGTGATGGGTGTGTCCTCTGGATCTTTCCCTCTGTTCCACTGGGGGGGCAGCCCTTGGTCAACAATTAGGCAAATCTCTACTAGTGAGTGATATTCTCAGCTCTTCTAAGCCTCCTTCAAGACTACTTGCTTATTTATTTCTGTTTTTATCTGGTCCCACATCCCAGGATACAGCCACATGCCTGCCCCTCTCCTCCTCTCTAATCTTGGAGGCTTTCTAGTGACCCTTTTCCTTGCCAGCCTGAGCAGGCTGCAGACAGAGGGCTGCCTTTCCCTGCTGGATTCTCTCTCCTTGTGTAGTCAAGCCTCACAGAGCCATTTCCTCCACAGAGGGGGCGCTGGAGCTGCACACACACCATCTCATTCCATCGCTGCGACAAGTGGTGTTCCAAGGTGACCGGCTGCCCTTCCAGTGCTCTGCCAGCTACCTGGGCAATGACACACGCATTCGCTGGTACCACAATCGGGCCCCAGTGGAGGGGGATGAGCAGGCAGGCATCGTCCTAGCCCAGAGCCTTATCCATGACTGCACCTTCATCACCAGGTAGGCCCTGCTGCTCCTTAGCCATGGTTTCCATTTCATACACCAAACAGCCAGGCCCAGACTTTCTCCTGGAAATGTGTGTGTATGTGTGATGTGTGTGTGCGTGTGTGTGTGTGTGCGTGTGTGCATGCATTTATGTGTAGCTACATGTGAATTTCTAGAAAGCTAAGACAACCATAAATAGCCTGAACAGAGATTAGAAATTAACATCTGATAGAAAAACGAGTGACAGGGGTGGGAAGGTGGCTCAGTGGTGGAGCGCTTGCCTTGCATGCATGAGGCCATGGGTTCGATTCCTCAGCACCACATAAGCAGAAAAAGCCGGAAGTGATGCTGTGGCTCAAGTGGTAGAGCTCTAGCCTTGAGCTGAAGAGCTGAAGGACAGCGCCCAGGCCCAGAGTTCAAGCCCCACAACTGACCAAAAGAAAAAAAAAAGAAAGGAAGGAAGGAAGGAAGCAAGCAAGGAAGGAAGGAAGGAAAGAAGGAAGGAAGGAAGGAAAAAAGAAAAATAAATGACATTTGACATTTCTCTAGTGAGGTTTTCTTTTACCACTTGAGCCACAGTGCCACTTGCAGTTTCTGGTGGTTTATTGGAGATAAGAGCCTCATGAACTTTGGGGCTGGGAAGGTAGCTCAGTGGTAGAGCGCTTGCCTTGCATGCATGAGTCCCTGGGTTCGATTCCTCAGTACCACATAAGCAAAAAGAAAAAAGCCAGAAGTGGCTCTATGGCTCAAGTGGTAGAGCGCTAGCCTTGAGCTGAAGAGCTGAGGGACAGTACCCAGGCCCAGAGTTCAGGCCCCACGACCGGACCCCCCCCCCCAAAAAAAAGAGTCTCATGAACTTTACTGCCCTGGCTGGCTGTGAACCATGATCCTCATATCTCAGCCTCCCGAGTATTACCTGAGTAACTAGGATTACAGGCATGAGCCACAGGTGCCCAGCAAAAGGCCATTATCTCCATCACAGGTAGTTAAGAGTAGATTCTGCAACCGGCTGACTGTGTTTTGTTTTGATTTTGATTTTTTTGGTTGTTGTTGGTCATGGGACTTGAGCTCTGGGCCTAGGCACTGTCCCTCAGCTCTTTAGCTCAAGGCAAGTGCTCTACCATTTGAGCCACAGTGCCATTTCCAGGGTTTTTCTTGTGTGTATGTCTGTTGTTTTTGTGCCCATACTGGGGCTTAAACTCAGAGCCTAGGCACTCTCCTTTAACTTTTTTACTCAAGGCTGGTGCTTTTACCACTGGAGTCACAGCTCCACTTCTGGCTTCTTGGTGTTTATTTGAAGATAAGAGTCTCTCACACTTTCTTGCCCAGGCTGCTTCAAATCACTGACCTAAGATCTCAGCCACTTGAGTAGCTAGGATTACAGGCATGAACCACTGACACCCAGCTTTTTCTCATGCTTATCATGTCTAAGAGGCCTTCACCTGTATTGTCTAGTTTGATCTCTACAGTAGATCTATAAGAGAAGTGATTGTCTCCATTATAAAGACAGAGAAATTAAAACTCAGAAAACAATACCATAAGGCCAGTCAAACTAAAAAAGTGTACACCTGTATCCTTCCTTCCAATAGAGAAAAAGGTCCTGATGGTATTACTCCAGGGCAGGAGCCTGTGTTTTCAGGGGGACAGGGGATGGCCAGGACCACTGTGGTAGTGTGGAGCTGGTCCTGGAGCATCCTAATGAGCCAGCCCCCACCCCTGTCTGCAGCGAGCTGACCTTGTCTCACATCAGCGTCTGGGCCTCAGGAGAATGGGAATGCTTGGTGTCCACGGCCCAGGGCAACACCAGCAAGAAGGTGGAGATTGTGGTGCTGGAGACCTCCGCCTCCTACTGCCCAGCTGAGCGTGTGGCCAACAACCGCGGGGACTTCAGGTTCTGTTGTTCTGCTCTGCAGAGGGCTGCACCAGAGATCTGACTATGGTCCCACCCCATGCAGTCCCTGCCCTTCATCCCTGCTCTTGTACCTGAGAGCAAAGATGACCAGAAGCTCCCTGTCTACTCTTTCCTTCAGTCCAAAGTCTTATCCTTGTGTTTCAAGAGAACTTACATTCAGGGGTACAGTCATCATGTGAGATGTGCTGCACAGACCACAAAGGCTTAAATTGCTTCCTCACATTAGTAGTTTGTAAAGGTCTCCTCCAAACATGATTTTGATTTTTGTGCCAGTCCTGGGGCTTGAACTCAGGGCCTGGGCACTGAGCTTTTGTGCTCAAGACTAGCACTCTACCACTTTGAGCCACAGCTCCATTTCCAGTTTTCTGGTGGTTAATTGGAGATGAGAATCTCATGGACTTTCCTGCCTGAGCTGGCTTAAACTACAGTCCTCAGATATCAGCCTCATGAGGAGGTAGGATTACAGGAGCCAGTGAACCCAGCTCCCTGAGCTTTTCTTGCTCAAGGTTAGGCTCTACCACTTGAGCCACAGTACTACTTCCAGCTTTTTTCACTTGGTAGATAATTGGAGAGAAGACTTTTCTGCCTGGACTGGCTTTGAAGAATAACCCTCAGATCTCAGCCTCCTGAGTAGCTAGGATTACAGGCGTGAGCCACTGGTACCGTCATATTTTAATATTAGTATCACTGTGACCCCTTATGAATGTCAGGGTCAGTATTGTTTTCCCCATTCTATAGTTAAGGATACTAAACACCGGAAAGCATAGTGGCTTGCCTAAGGCTGTAGCTATTAAGTGGCAGAATTAGACTTGAACTCAGAACTCTGAGTGCACCCCTATATCACTTGGGATAGCACTGTCAGAGAAAACTTTACAGAGTAGAACTTGAGGGTCATCTGTACCCACACACCCAAGGGTTTGGCATCACAATTCAAAGGGCGGGAGCTAATGGTCCTGAGGAGCCTGGCTCACATTACCTTCCCCCTCTGTCCACAGGTGGCCTCGAACTCTAGCTGGTATTACAGCCTACCAGTCCTGCCTACAGTATCCCTTCACCTCAGTGCCCCTGAGTGGGGGTGCCCCAGGTACCCGAGCCTCTCGCCGGTGTGACCGAGCTGGCCGTTGGGAGCCAGGGGACTACTCCCATTGTTTGTACACCAATGACATCACCCGAGTGCTCTACACCTTTGTGCTGGTGAGGCTAGGAGAGGAAGGGTGGGGCACCCCTCCAGCTCTGGTTTGGGGTTGAAGACTGAGGCCCCATGGGGGCAGGGAGCCCAGCCCAAGGTTGCTCTGAGGGGGTACTCCATTCCTCTCCATAGCTGCTGTCCTCTTGCAGGGGATTCATGCCCACAGAGCTACTTCGGGTCCTCATTATCCTTCCGCATTGGGACATACTGTCATTGTCCTTACCCAGAGATGCTGCAAGTGGGCAGCCTTGCACTGTGATGAGCAGGGTCCTCTCTATAGTAGGTGGTACAGGCTTCTATAGCTCTGAGCACCAGTACCAAGGACAAGGGCTCCTTAGGGTAGTTCTGGGGCAGAAGGAAGAAGATGGAGTGATCCTTTTCCCTCCCAACACCCCCAGATGCCCATCAATGCCTCCAATGCACTAACCCTGGCCCACCAACTGAGAGTATACACAGCTGAGGCTGCCAGCTTTTCAGACATGATGGATGTGGTCTATGTGGCTCAGATGATTCAGAAATTTTTGGGTTACGTAGACCAAATCAAAGAGGTAAGATTCAACGAGTCTTGGGTCCCTGAGAGTCACCCTCCCACTACCTTGGGCCTCTCCCACAGCCCAGCCCCTAGATCCTAAACTCCACTCCTTCCTTCCCTGTGACTCTCCTCTCTTGCCCTCGCCACAGCTGGTGGAGGTGATGGTGGACATGGCCAGCAACCTGATGCTGGTGGACGAGCACCTGCTCTGGCTGGCCCAGCGTGAAGACAAGGCCTGCAGTGGCATTGTGGGTGCCCTGGAGCGCATTGGGAGTGCTGCTCTCAGCCCCCATGCTCAGCACATCTCTGTGGTAATGTGGATCAGGATGGGACAGGGAGCACTGGGAAGGACCTGAAGTTGACTAGGGCCAAGCCTGCATGATCTATAGAAAGAACACTTCCCTCTCTCTCTCTCTAGTGTACCTGCCAGGCACCAGCTGTCAAAAACAGCAAACAGGGCTTACAAAGGAGAGGGGCCAGTGACGAAGAAGTCATACATGAGTTGGAGGGCTTGAGTTGGAGGGAGCTGAGCGGAATGTCCAGCCTGCTGGACATAAATCAGAGGAAGCTGAGAAGGAGTAGAGGGAACAGGAGGAGGGCTTGATCTCCAGCTGACAGCACTCATAGAAAAGGAATGATGAGGTGCCATGAGGGGAGGGTGATCTTTCTAATTTGGTTGGTTTGATAGAGCCAGGTACCAGTGGCTCATATCTGTAATCCTAGCTACTCAGGAGGCTGAGATCCGAGGATAGTGGTTCAAGGCCAGCCCAGGCAGGGAAGTCTATAAGACTTTTATCTCCAGTGAATCACCAAAAATTAAAAGAAACAAAGCTGTGGCTCAAGTGGTAGAGTGCTAGCCTTGAGTATGAAAGCTCAAGGACAGCACCCAAGCCCTGAGTTCAATCCCCACGACTGGTATACATACAAAAAAAACTCTAGTAGAAATACATTCAAGATATTGTCTAGGCACTTCAGTTGAGTTGGGACAATAGAATTAGTAGACGGAGTGAGGGTGTGAGCAAGGTAAGATGTGGTACACACAAGAGCACTTGGCCCTTCAGAGGAAGGAGAATGCCTATGGCCATGTGTGGTGTGGAGACTCCCACAGCACACACAAGACTGGCCATACTTTGAAAAGATGGTAGGACTGGGGTGGGGCTGCAGCCTGAGCTGCTTTCTAGAGAAAGTCTCAAACAGTGGAGTAACAATTTCCCTGTCCCCAGAACTCGAGAAATGTGGCCCTAGAGGCCTACCTCATCAAGCCACACAGCTATGTGGGCCTGACCTGCACAGCCTTCCAAAGGAAGGAGGCAGGCATGTCAGGCGTACAGCTGGGCAGCCCTGGCCAGAATGCCCCACCTGAGCCTGAGCCCCCAGCTGACCAGCAGCTGCGCTTCCGCTGCACCACGGGGAGACCCAACATTTCTCTGTCATCTTTCCACATCAAGGTGGGCACAGAGGAAGGGGTGTGAGGATGGGTGTGTGGTGGGGGGGGGTAGGTATGAGAGAAGGTGGGGTCTGGAGAGTGGGAGGAGGGCAGATGGGGCAAAGTGAAGCCAGGAAGGGACAGGAAATGTGATTTCATGGGTTCTGAGTGTCTCTGAGGAGTTCCTGTGTCCCTCACCCCCCAGAACAGTGTGGCTCTGGGTTCCATCCAGCTGCCCCCCAGCCTATTCTCATCCCTTCCGGCTGCCCTGGCTCCCCCAGTTCCCCCAGACTGCACCCTGCAACTGCTTGTCTTCCGAAATGGCCGCCTCTTCCGAAGCCATGGCAACACCTCTCGCCCCGGAGCCACTGGGCCTGGCAAGAGGCGCGGAGTGGCCACACCTGTGATCTTTGCAGGAACCAGTAAGGGATTGAACTCCTGAATGTCCATCTTCCCTGTGCCCTTCACCCTGCCCTTCCTGTACCCACACTCCCTACAGTACCGATTGCCCTGGTAAACTTGGCAGAGGATGATGGGTCCCTCATTTCCTAAGGATGGAGGAGGCAGACATGGTCTGTGCAGGAAGGGATTGGTGGAGGCAAGGTTCAGGACTTTATAAGCCAGACCAAGGCAAATGTAGGATTTGAATGCCACTATACTCTCATGGGGGGAGGGGAAGGGCACTAGGGATGGTGCTGAAGAACTTGCCACTGAGCTACATTCCCATCCCCAACATGGATTTTATACCCCAGGTGTATTACATTTCAAAAGAGCTGTAAGCATAGACCTCAACCCACTGGCCACACAGGTCCCAGGCAGACAAGCAACACTGCATGAGTGCCTACCGAAAGCTCAGCACTACCTTTGCTGTTGTTATAAGGATGAAAATATCCTTGGAGGTTGCTGCTTGAACCAGAAACACTGGGGACAGTGAACTGAGTTCTGGCACCCAGGAACTACGTGGATTGTCTGTAGCTCCAGCCTCAGCTGGCCCATGCTCTTTTTCTTCCTGTGATTCCACCTTTGTACTTTTTTTTGCCAGTCTTGGGGCTTGAACTCAGGGCTTGGGCACTGTCCCTGAGCTTATTTTGCTCAAGGCTAGCATTCTACCACTTGAGCCACAGCACTACTTCTGGCTTTTTCTGTTTATGTGGTACTGAGGGATTGAACCCAGGGCTTGATGCATGCTAAGCAGCACTCTACCAGTAAGCCACATTCCTAGCCCTGAGTCCACCTTTGCTCACACTTTTCCATTGACTGTCTGCTACACTGTCACCAGACTCACCTTCTAGAAACATCTGAGCCCCAAACCTTCAAGGCTTCTGTGGTCCCCATCATCAGAATACCTATCTTCTTCCACATGCTCTCTAGGGTCCTTTGTGACATGACTCTAGGCCTCTCCCATTCCCAGGTGTTGCTGTCACTACACCAGGATCCCTTCCTGTTTCTAGAAGGGACCTGCACCTTTCCATTTTCTGTATAAACACTCACTGAGTGCCTTGCAGGTGCCAGGCTGCTGAGGTTGGGAAACACGTGTGCACAGCCAGCTATGTCCTTGTCCTTAAAGAGTGCACACTTTAGCAGAGAAGACAGGCAGTGAAGTGAGCAGCAGTGCGAAGTGTGCAGAGCATTGCCAACAATAGCTGAACCCTGTTAGGGGCCAGGAAGACCTTTCCTGAACACGGAGACTTCCCCCAAGACTTGATGGATAAGTTACCTGAAGGGTCAAAGTGCTAGCAGCCATGTGTGGAAATGAATGTGAAGTGCGAGGGGAGAGGTGGATTCTTGGGGGTCGCACGTGTCCCAGCACATTCCCTCTCAGCTCTGCTCTTCCTCCTGCTCCCTTCCATCCCACCTTCCTGATAGAGTGCCCTTCCTGATGGCCACCTTCACCTGGTCTTTTGCTATTCCCACATTCACGCCTTTCTTCCTGTCATGAGTACCACAGTTCAAGTCGTTGGATTTTGTTGTTGTTGTTTTTTTGAGCATCTCATCACCTCTTACCTAAAATGGTCTATGTCTCCTAGCACGTGCACCTTGATTTTCCCTCCACTCTCCCCCATGCAGTCTCCCCAGGTAGACTGAGGCCTGTGCTTGGCATCCAACACCAGACCAGTCCAGCAGGTTTCATGCATACTCTGGCTGCTGCAGCAGCTGCTTAGTGGCCCAGCCAGCTTTCCTGACAGCCTTCTGTGTATTCACATGGACTTTCCTCTCCTGTAGGTGGCTGTGGCGTGGGAAACCTGACAGAGCCAGTGGCTGTTTCACTGCGGCACTGGGCCGAGGGGGCTGACCCCATGGCAGCCTGGTGGAGCCAGGAGGGGTCTGGGGGCTGGAGTTCTGAAGGCTGCCAGCTCCGCTCCAGCCAGCCCAATGTCAGCTCCCTGCACTGCCAGCACTTGGGCAACATGGCTGTGCTCATGGTAGGTGGTCTGGTGGAAAGGTGAGGGAACAAAGCATGAGAGCAAGGATTGGGTATTCTGGTCATCTGGGGCCACAGAGACATAGAAGGAGAACAGCAGCTTTCTTTATTGTTATTACTGTTGTTGTTAGCACCAATTAGTCATACAAGTAAATTTCATTTTTAACATGTCCATTTATGTACACAGTGCATCTTCATCAGGACAACAGCCTTCAAACTGTCACAACTTGTGGGAAATAGCCCAGCGGTCTCCCACACCTCTCCCTCTTCCTGCAGACAGGGAAAGCCTGCCTCCATTCTCATGTCTAGAGAGAGATAAATCTAGAACTACCTAGCTTAGTCTTTATATATTGTACTTTTTCCCCCCCTGTGCCAGTTTTGGGGCTTGAACTCAGGGTGCTATCCCTGAGCTTTTTTTTTTTTTTTTAATGCAAGACTAGCAGACAAGCACTTGAGCCACAGCTCCACTCTTGGATTTTGGGGGGAAGTTAGTTGGAGATCAGAGTCTCATGGCCTTTCCTGCCCAGGCTGGCCATGGTCCTCAGATCTGAGCCTCTTGAGTAGTTAGTATTACAGGTGTGAGCCACAGGCACCCAGCTGTACTGTACTTTCTGAGACCTGAATTCTTAAAATCGAAAAGCAATCTGGGATCATTTCTCCTCTTTCTGATCATTCCCAACCCTATCACATTTCATATCCCGTTTTTCCACCCACTGAGCAGGTATGCAGCTGTGTCACAGACAAACTTCTTCAGCTCTTTCCTCATTTCTAAAACATCCTCATAAAGGCAAGATACTATGAGGAAGAAAGTAAAGCAGGTCACTGTCATTGTTCCCTAAGGCTGCTTGTCCTGAGTGGATGTCCACACGTCTACCTGGACAGACTAAGCACCAAGGGGTAGTCCAAAGCTTATGGGGCTTAGGAAGAAGGTAATTGGCCAGAGTGGGGCAGCTCTGTAGTTTTACTTCTCTCTTCCAGGAGCTGAATGCTTTCCCCAGGGAAGCAGGGGGCTCTGGGGCCAGCCTGCATCCTGTCGTTTATCCCTGCACCGCCCTGCTGCTGCTCTGCCTCTTCTCCACCATCATCACCTACATTCTCAACCACAGGTGGGAGCTGTTCTTCAGGGAAGGAAGGTGGGGAGCAAGACAGCAGGTCTCATCAAGGACTGGCAGGTGTTTCTTAGGGAGGTCCATGTGATCTGCCCAGGTTCTTGCTTTGCTTATATCTGAATCTTCTGGGCTTGGAGAATACTTTTTGTGAATTAAGAACTTCCTCCTGGTGCCAGGGGTTGCATTCACACACATGCAAGCACATACATAGATATACCTTCCCCTTTGTGACTATCATAGTAGCCTCAGATCCTATGGGTTGGGCAGCCTATTAATGAACGACATTCTTTTGGGGCAGCTCCATCCACGTGTCCCGGAAGGGCTGGCACATGCTGCTGAACCTATGTTTCCACATGGCCATGACCTCTGCTGTCTTTGCGGGGGGCATCACACTTACCAACTACCAGATGGTCTGCCAGGCGGTAAGCAGAAGGAACTACAAGATGAGTGATGACAGTAGGGAGATGCGCGGCAAGAATAGACTCATGGGAACAGGCCCCAGCTCCACTGTTCTCTGTGCCCATCTGAAAGGGGTAGGGGAGAAGAGGTGATATGGAGAACCAGGCCAGAGAAAATTGGAGACTGAGCTTCAAAATGGAGAGGGAGAACAGTAATGGAGGAGAGGTTAGGGGTGAGGGAGGCAGCAATGGCTGGGTTCTGGAGAATCTCTGCTAGGAGAGAAGCTAGATGGAAATAGAAAGGACAGCAGCAGGGACAAGCTTAATGGGTACCATGGGATTGGACTGGGTCAAGAGGACGTTGTGGGTGAGGGTGCTGGAAACATGGGAGGATGGGGAGCATCCCAGCCACTGAGGCTCCAGGATGGCTCAGGTGGCATAGCCCAGGCCCTCAGCCTCCGTGCCTCACCCCCTAGGTGGGCATTACTCTGCACTACTCTTCCTTGTCCACACTGCTGTGGATGGGGGTGAAGGCTCGAGTCCTGCACAAGGAGCTGACCTGGAGGGTACCTCCTCCGCAAGAAGGGGACTCCACCCTGCCTGCTCCCCGCCCCATGCTCCGGTTCGTATGTTCACCTGCCAGCTTTGCCTTGGGATCTGGGGTGAATGAAGGGTAAACCAAAGGTTCCTTGGGATCACTCAGAGACCTTGGAGCAGCCAGGTGATGTCAGGCTGTGGAGTGGGCGTGTCCTGCTGGCTTTGAGGGCCAGAGGCGACAGGAGATCCAGAGCAGCTGAGCAGCATTCCCTGGCTTCTGCAGCTCTCAAGGTCTTTCTTAGAATAGTCTTGACCAAATCCTGGAAGGACCTGTCAGGCCTGCCCTTATGGGCCTTGCATCCCTGGCAAAAACAAAGCAAAAAACCCAACCAAAACAACAAACAACAACAATAAAAAAAACCCTGTTGCGACAGATTGACAGGGGAGGAAAAAAGAAACAGAGACACCAAGGCAAGGATTCTGAGCACCTGCTTCTTCCTTCTCTCGTTTCTCTGACCTCCAAACCCTATCCCCCTCCAGGTTTTATTTGATCGCTGGAGGAATCCCACTCATCATCTGTGGCATCACAGCTGCTGTCAATATCCACAACTACCGAGACCACAGTCCCTAGTGAGCATCACTTTTGTTCCCGTTGCCTGCCTGCCACCCCTCCCCGTACCTTCCCCTCCACTGGCGAGGGCACCTGCCAGTGCCTATCTAGCAAGGGACCCTCCCCTAACCCAGTCATGCTAAGCACACTGGGTTCTGCCTCCCCATTCATATCCAGCTTATGGACCACCCAACCTGTGAGCCCTACTTATCCACCACCTCTCTATCTCCCCTCAGCTGCTGGCTGGTGTGGCGGCCGAGCCTGGGTGCCTTCTACATCCCGGTGGCTTTGATTCTGCTGATCACCTGGATCTACTTTCTGTGTGCTGGGCTGCACCTACGGGGTCCTCTGGCGCAGAGCCCGAAGGCGGGCAACAGCCGGCTCTCCTTGGAGCCGGGGGAGGAGCCGAGAGGTCCCACCAGGCTCAGGAGCAGCGGCGCCCTGCTGAGTGACTCGGGTTCCCTCCTGGCTGCGGGGAGTGCTGGAGTGGTGACTCCCGGGCCCCCAGAGGACGGCGACAGCCTCTATTCCCCAGGGGTCCAGCTGGGGGCGCTGATGACCACGCATTTCCTGTACCTGGCTATGTGGGCCTGCGGGGCCCTGGCCGTGTCCCAGCGCTGGCTGCCCCGCGTGGTGTGCAGCTGTCTGTACGGGGTGGCGGCCTCCGCGCTGGGTCTCTTCGTCTTCACGCATCACTGTGCCAGGCGCAGGGACGTGAGGGCCTCCTGGCGCGCCTGCTGTCCCCCGGCCTCAGCCTCGGGCTCGCACGCCCCGGGCCGGGCCCTGCCCACCGCCCACGAGGACGGCTCCCCAGTGTTGGGGGACGGGCCGGCTTCCCTCAAGTCCTCCCCGAGCGGCAGCGGAGGCCCTACGCCGGCGCCGGGTCCCTGCAAACTCACCAACCTGCAGCTGGCCCAGAGTCAGGGGTGCGACGCGGGGCTGGCGGCCCGCGGCGCGGCGGAGCCGGAGCCCCCCGGCCCGCGGGGGAGCCTGGCTCCCCGACACCCCAACAACGTGCACCACGGGCGCCGCGCGCACAAGAGCCGGGCCAAGGGGCACCGCGCGGGGGAGGTCGGCGGCCGGAGCCGGCTGAAGGCCTTGCGCGCGGGCGCGGCGCCCGGGGCGCCCGAGCCGCCGTCCAGCGAGAGCAGCAGCCTGCGCCACAGTCCGTCCGACAGCGGCCCGGGCGGCAGCCTCCCGCTGGAGGCCGAGCCCATGCTCACGCCGTCGGAGGGCAGCGACACGAGCGCGCCGCTCCCCGAGGCCGCGCGGCCGGGCCAGCGCCGCTGCGCCAGCCGCGACAACCTCCGGGGCGGCGCGCCCGACAAGGACAGCAAGCGCCGCTCGTACCCGCTCAACGGCGCCCCGAAGGGGGGCAAGTACGACGACCCCGGGGCCGCCGAGGCTGCCGGGGGCGGCTGCATGAAGACCGGCCTCTGGAAGAGCGAGACCACCGTCTAGGGCAGGGTGGGCGGGCGACGCAGTGGGGCAGGCCGGCCGCTCCTCCGCGGCGCCGGCGGAGACGAGCGCCGTCCCGGTAAGGCACGGCGGAGGCCGCACCCCGCCCGCCCGCCACCGGCTGTGGGGCAGGGGCAGGGGCTGCCACGTGCCAGGCGCGCCGACCCGGAGGCAGCGACAGGCAATCCAGAAACACGCAAGATCCACATCCGACCGCCAACTTCTCCGGTGTCCTCCCAAGGAGAGGAGAAGTCCTGACTGCGGAGTGGCCCACAAACAGAGCGGAAGAGCCAGCCCAGGCAGGGCGGACTCCTCCCTCAGTGCTCCCCGCACTCTGGTCCACACTGCCTTAAGGGGAGCCGGGACTGCCCTCTCTCCTTACGGTCCTGGCAGGTGAGCCAGGTGTCAGGCCCAGGGGAGTAACAGGTGCTGCTTTTCAGATTAACCATGCAAGGAGAGTGGGGTGGGGCGGCAAGAGAGGCAGCTCTGGAGAACTGGTCCTGTGGGAAGGGCGCAGTTAAGGGCACCACTCCCGGGAAGCGGGACAAAAACCTTCCTTGCAACTGAGATGGGCCTCGCGACAAAGCCCAAACCCACACCTGAGAAGCTGCCGAGCCAGGTGCCTGACAAGCCGAAGGAGCTGGGACTTGGATCTGGGCAGTACCTGAAAACAACATTCTGGAAGAGTGGCTCTACCCTAATGGCAGGTAGGGTTTGGAAAGGCACTTAAATGCTCAATTTTAAGAGCCATCTGCCATCTGGTCTCAGCCTCCCAACTCCCAAGGGACCAAGGAAGAGCACCTCCTTGCCTCCGTGAGGCCATATAGAAGCAACCCTATAATCTGATCTAACTCCACTGTAGGGAGAAAACGTCAACATGTCAAACCAGACTTCCAGCTCACAGAGCCCAAGCTAAGCCCTAGGCCAACAGCTAGGGTTCCTGCTGCTCACCAAGAGGCCTCTGTCTTCACTACTCTAAAACCCCAGCACCAACCAGTATTTTTCCCTATCTAAAAGCAATCCCCAGACTTTCACTATAGGGCTGCATGGAAGTACAGGGAACCTTGGGCCTCTGAAGAGCAACGGGGAGCCCAAATCTGGCCCGGGTCCCTCTCAATCTTCATGTCACCCTCACGTGGTCAGGTGGAAGAGAGCTGCAGGGAGGGGAGAAACCATGTTCTTCGAGATCAGCCCTGTTATTTATGCTTGCTGCACAGACGATATTAGAAGAAAAAATGCTTTGTATTATTCTTCCACATATGCTGGCTGCTGTTTACATACCCCGCCTATGCCTTAGCACTGGAGAGCTTTTTGCAATACGCTGGGGAAAGGGGAGGGAGGGAATGAAAAGTGCCAAAGAAAACATGTTTTTAAAAAGCTTGGGTTTTATACAATAGAAATGTTTTCTAGAAGATGCCTCTTGTTTTAATATATTAAAGTTTTGCAAAGCCCTTTGAGTTATAGCTGCAATCCACCCAGTCATTTCTTAATGAGATAGAGGATCTTTTAACACCATACATGTGGTGCCTAGAATGGACAGAGCCAAGATTTCCCCAGCTACTGTTTCTCCTAAGGTTGGTACCACTGGGAATGCCAGCTGCTCCACAAGAGCAGTGAAGAATTCAAACTGAGGCAGGAGAGTCTGGCATTTTCCAGAAGTGTTTTAGGGAAAAAACCACCCCACAGAATGCAAAACATTTGTAACTTGTTCCTCCCAGCTCCTACTCCAGGACCTCAGGACCAGCTGACTGGACACCCTTGGTTCCTTCAAACAAGATACTATTCAAGTCCACTTACTTCCCGTGCCATGACAGGCCTATTATCATGCTGCTCACAATAAGACAAAGTACCCCCAAATGGAGAGCATCAAGGAGGGTTAGGGGCACCCATGGCAGCCTGGCTAGCAGCTTGAGCTCTCTGAAAGTCCCTTACTTCCTGAGGGGTCCGCAAGTATTGCTCTATCTCACTATCAGAAATGTTTTCATCTCCAGTCACTGTGGAGACAGGGGATGTGCTACGGATCCGTTTTGGGGGCTTCAACATGCAGGGTGGGAGGAGAAGGGCAGGACTGGCGGGTCGCTTCCCTCTGGGCATATCTAAGGAATTGTCCTCCACTTCTTCCTGTTCTTGCTGTTGTCCCTGCACCTCCTCCTGGGACTCCACTTCTGCTGTCCCATCTCGAAAGGCCATGCGGATTAGCAGCTGTCGGTGCTGGAGAAGGTCATCAATGTGCTTAACCACAGATCGCTTGTCAAGTTTCAGAATCTGCAACCAGGCCAGCTGCTCAGCCATCTGCAGCAGCACGGCCAGCAGTTCCTGCAAGCGGGAGGCAGCAGGGTAGGGCAGGTCCACATTTGCCAGTTTACAAAATCGGGCAAGGGAACACGTTAGCCGATGTGAAGGCTGCAGAGACTGCCATGCTAGAAAAGCAGCTGCAGTGATGATAGGCAAAGGATGCCGACCAGTCACCAGCCATGTTTCATTGGCCAGCTCTACCAGCTGCAGTGTCCGAGACAGCATCTTGTCTTTGTCTTCTACATATTTGGCTGGCATAGATGAGGCTTGGAACAGTTTGAAGCTGAAATAAAACAAAATGAGGATCAGGTCTCAGTAATGACAGGGTGGGGTGGAGGGGCCCTGATCTACAGAAGGACACTCTACTCAAGACAGGGAGGTAGTTCTGTCCCCTGTCCTCTTGGGACAGAACTGGGCAGGCAGCAGAAATACTCACTGGGTAGCAGGTTCATAGAGGTAGAGAAAGAAAACTGCATGTAGGTTCCCCTTGCCAAGGGACAGGCAGAAGAAAGCAGCAAGGAGCAGAACCTTCCTGTTAGCCCTGTACCCTATTAAGGATTAGGCAAGTAGTTTAAATGGTAACTCTTGCCTGGTAAGCACAAGGCTTTGAGTTCAAACCCCAGTACTCAAAAAAAAAAAAAAAGAAAGAAAAGAAAAAAGAGAAATGTACTCTGCTATGTATAGAGTTGGAAAAAACTTGCCCCGGTATCCAGCTAAAAAGTAACCAAATATCAACTATTTGTTTATTATTTTGAGACTCGGTCTTATGATGTAGCCCAGGCTAGTCCTGAACCCCCTTCCTCAGCTGCTGCTTCTTTTCTGTGTGCCTGCAAGTCCTTGAACTCAGGGCCTGGTACAGTCCCTCAGCTTTTTTGCTCAAAGCTAACATTCTACCACTCAAACTACAGCTCCCCTTCTGGCTTTTTGATGGTTAACTGGAGGTAAGAGTCACAGACTTTTTGCTTGGGCTGGCTTCAAACCTGGATCCTTAAACCTTAGCCTCCCTAGAGGCTAGAATTAAATATGTAAGCCACTTGTGCTCATCTTTTGCCTCAGCTTTTTTTTTTTGGTCTGGTCGTGGGCCTGCACTCTGGGCCTGGGCACTGTCCCTCAGCTCTTCAGCTCAAGGCTAGCGTAGCTCTACCACTTGAGCCACAGAGCCACTTCCAGCTTTTTTTCTGCTTATGTGGTGCTGAGGAATGGAACCCAGGGCCTCATGCATGCAAGGCAAGCACTCTACCCTGAGCCACCTTCCCAGCCCCTGCCTCAGCTTCTGCCAGAATTACAGATGTGTTCCACCACATCTGGCCAATAGTAACATTTTTAAAAGCCTTTGTCATCTGCAGTAATTGATTTTTTTTTAAATAAGAAAGACTATGGTTACTTAAAAACAAACAAAAGAACATAGCTTCTAACCTCAGTTCTACCATCAACTACTATCCTATTTGGCTGTGTTCCCAAGTACACACAGTCACACGTGTCCATGCCACAGGCCTGCAATTCAGAAGGCACACTGATGTACGAGCAGTGCAACTCAGCAACCCTGAGCCACAGCATGAAACTTCTTCCTACATCACCAGGTTGCTAAGGTGACAAACGTATTTAAAATTGCAGCACTCTAGGAAAGTATACCAGTTAACCTCATTAGTGGTAAGCACTAGATCCTATCACATAGACTCTGGTCACAGGCAGCCATAAGCAAAAGACACATCCCATCCCACGGTGGCCTCCTAGACAGGTACCTGCTGCAGTAAGTCTTCACCAAGTCTGCCAAGCACAGAGATGGCACATCTAACCCCAGAAGCTTCACTATCTGCATGTAGGTGCCAGAAAACATATCCAGGTCTGCATATAACAGGGTGCAAATGGTTCCCATGGTAAGGGGCCAATTATGCTGCCGGCAGGTGATTAAAACACAGCAGCCCACCAACACCTCCTTCTTCTGGAGCCTGGCAGCACGGATGCCAGAGTGCCTGTATGCCTTTTGGTAATAGGCAATTGCTGTGTCCTCAAACGTTGGTGGTAATTGGAGCACTCGACAAAGGTCTCTCACTCGGCGAAGACCTAAGAAAACCCATAGCAAGAGTTAAGACAGAGGTCAAGTTGGATGCTGGTGGCTCACCCCGTAACCCTAGCTACTCAGAATGGGGAGATCTGAGGGTCACAATTCAAAGCCAGCCTGGATAGGAGAGTCTGTGAGACTCAGTACTCAGGCCCTGAGTTCAGACTGCAGATCCAGCACGCACGCGTGCGCGCGCACACACACACGCACGCGCGCGCACACACACACACACACGCACGCGCACACACACACACACTAAGGTCAAAGGAACTAGTAAATACCTATTAGCAAATTCTGCTGTGAATCAAATTAGTGCTGCTAGCAGATACAAGATGTGTAAATAACATATCTTTTTGGAGGACTGGAGAACACTTTCTGCAGTTCTTTTTTTTTTTTTTTTTGTCGGTCATGGGGCTTGAACTCTGGGCCTGGGTGCTGTCCCTCAGTTCTTCAGCTCAAGGCGAGCGCTCTACCACTTGAGCTACAGCGCCACTTCCGGTTTTCTAGTGGTTTATTGGAGATAGGAGTCTCACGGTCTTTTCTGCCCAGGCTGGCTTTGAACCGCGATTCTCAGATCTCAGCCTCCTGAGTAGCTAGGATTACAGGCGTGAGCCACCGGCGCCCGGCCAGTTCTTTTTTTAATGGTTTTATTTTTTCCCCTTGGGTGATAGTGGAACCCAGAACCACATGCATGCTATACAAGCTCACTACCACCAAGATAGCTACATTCTAGCTCTCACTGGTACAGAAATATTTGGGGAAAGAGAAGTCATATTCAACCCACCATTTTTCGGAGGCTGGTTTTATTTGTAGCTGATCCACTTTTAGGCGTTGGGGATTCATGCTAGGCACACCATCTACCAGTAAGCAACAGCCCTAGCAAACTTTTAGCCAAGCTCCTGAGGCTACCACAAACATCCTATACTTGATTACCACAGCTCTTAGAACCATCCCCCATTCTTTCTTTCTGCTTTGCTTTTTTACTTTTTTTTTTTTTTGCTGGTCCTAGGCCTTGAACCCTGTCCTGGGTGCTGTATCTTACCTCCTTTTGCTTAAGACCAGCATTTTATCACTTGAACTACAGCACTACTTCAGGCTTTTTTTGTAATTAATTGAAGATAAGAGTCTCTTGGACTTTCCTGTCTGGAATGGCTTCAAACCATGATCCTCAGATCCCAGCCCCAAGTAGCTAAAGGTGTAAGCCACCAGTGCCTGCCTCTTTCTCTTTTCTAATGTTATGGTTTTTGTTACTGTTTGTTTAGAATCAAACCTGAGGTTCTTGCTCCTGCTCCAGACTTCCAAGTGCTGGGATTATAGGAATGTACCACAGTGCCAAGATACTCCAATTTTTTTCTTTTTCCTTTTTTGTGTGCCTGTATGTGTGCCAGTCCTAGGACCTGCACTCAGGGCTTGGGCACTGTGCACTGTCCCTGAGCTTTTTTGCTCAAGGCTAGCATTCTACTACTCGAGTCACAGCTCCACTTCTGGCTTTTTGGGGCTAATTAGAGATAGGAATCCCATGGACTTTCCTGCCTTAGCTGGCTTCAAATCAAGATCCTCGGATCTCAGTCTCCTGAGTAGCTAGGGTTACAGACATAAGCCTCTGGCACCCAGCTTTCTCTTTACGTTTTTTTTTTTAAAGCATCATTTAGTTGCTCAAAGGGAATTTCATTTCAACATATCCACATATGGATACAATGTTCTCAGATTTACTCGTGCTACCAAATCTTTATTTCTAATTACTATTCTCTTCTAATCCACCTCACACCAGGAAATGCACTAAGATAGAAAAGACCATCAGGATTTTTGGTGGTGGTGGTTGTGGCCATGGGGCTAGAACTCAAGGCCCAGGGAACTGTCCCTGAGCTTTTTCCACTCAAGGCTAGCACTCTACCACTTTGAGTCACAGCTCCACTTTGGGTTTTCTGGTGGTTAACTGGAGATAAAAGTCTCATGGCCTTTCCTGCCTGGGCTGGCTTTGAACTGAGATCCTCAAATCTCAGCCTCGTGAGTAGCTAGGATGACAGTCATAAGCCAGTAGCCCCTGGCTTCAGGATCATTTCTTTAAAGTTACTACTGTATTGTAAAAAGTTGACTCTCACCTCGTTGCTGGCTGCGACTAATTTGCTCATTTTCCCCGGTGCTTCGAGAATATGTTATTTCTGTAAAAAAAAAGAATATGTTATTTCTGAAAAAAAAAAAACCAGTATTTCTGTAAAAGTAATGAACAACCAATAGTACATTTAGTCCTATGCTCTCCCACTACACAAGGTCAGAAAGTAGAATTCAAATCAGTGTGCATCTGCTGTCTGTCTCATATAAGATGCTCAAGGATGCACAGGAAAAGGCCCGTCTGGTTTTCTGAGTTCAGGGCAGTACCAAATCCACAAAGTGAAGGTTTAGTTCCACAGTGAACGAACTCCAACAGCTCCAGTCTATCTAAATTCCCAATCATCCAAGCTAGGCAATTTTCCCGGCTGCAGATTTGTTCTAGGGGAGGGGGGTTGACTGCGTTTCAGGGTCTCGAAGGGGATAGAATGGGGAATCTGGGGCTAGTGGCTCCACGGCCCCAGGCCCGGAAATGGGGGCACGGGTAGGTACCTCGAAGGTTGCCCTCATCGGTATAGGTAGTGGTTAGGGTCCCCTCGGTGACCACGCAGCCGCAGGCGGAGCACACGAGCTGGCTCTGCGAGTAGTGCGAGTCTTCCACGAGTTCAGCGGAGCCACAGTCCGGGCAGCGGCCGCCCTTCGGCATCGCTCCTACCTGCCCAGCGCCCCGGAAGCCCCCGCTCGCCCACTCCTACTTCCCCAACAGGAACCGCGCGACGACAGGAACCAGGGAAGACCCCGAGAGAGGCGGCAACGCTTCCGGCCCGAGCGAGAACGCGAGCGTTCGCCCCGCCCCGCGCTTGCGCGCGCCACTTCCGGTCTTACGCGTCTGAGGACTCGGAGAGAAACCGGAGCTAGGAAAGGAGGTTCCCGTCCTGAGCTGCGTGTCAGGTTCTCGGCCCTCAGTAGTTTGAGGCATCGCCCTGGGGCTGGAATTTGGATAAACTTTCTACCTACTTGGACTAGAGGCACCTACAGGAAATTGTTGACATTCCTGACACACTTTCTTTTTTTTAAGCGCTAGTGGAATCGCAGGTTTTCAATTGTCTGTGGTAACAAATGTTGATTTTGGTCTTAGTAGGAAATCGCTAAAAGTAGAGTGCGGTAGTAAGAGAAATTGTGCTCTGTTTTCCCGAGCTGTTTGCATAGGTAAGTTCCTTTCTACCTTTCCCTCCCTTCCTCCCTCCCTTCCCTCCTTCCCTCCTTCCCTCCTTCCCCCCTTCCCTCCTTCCTTCCTTCCTTCCTTCCTGCCGGTCCTGGGGTTTGAACTCTGGGGCCCGAGCGCTGTCCTCCAGTTTTTCACTCAAGTCTAATACGATACCACTTGAGCCACAGCTCCGCTTGACCTCTGGCTTTTTGATAGCTAATTAGAGATTAAAGTCTTACGAACTTTCCTGCCCAAGTTGGCTTCGAACATGATCCCCAAATTTCAGTAAACCACTAGCACCCAGCTTCTTCCATTTTTTGTCTGTTTTCTTTTCTTTTTATGTGGATGGTGGGGCTTGAACTCTGTGCCTGGGGCGCTAATCCCTAAACTCTTCAGCACCAGGTGAGCACATGAGCCACAACGACACTTCTGGTTTTCTGGTGCTTAATTGCAGATAAGAGTCCAACAGACTTTCCTGCACGGGCTCGTTTTGAACCTGGATCCTCTGATCTCAGCCTCCTGAATAGTTAGGATTACAGGCCGGAGCCACCGGCTCATCTTCTGTTCTTAAATGTCTGTTTTTCTCAACTGTAAATTGAGGGAATTGAATTAGAATCTGGAGTGGCAAATTCAAGATGGCCTCAGAGGCCAGGAAGGGAATGCCTAAATGGACTTTGAAGTGAAATAATTTGGTGTAGTTAGGCTTTTGGCAAAATGGAGGGTGCAAGCAGATTTATTCAGATGCATTTAAAACTTTGAGCTTTAAGACTATCCAAAATCCAATCTGGTGTGATGACTCACATAATAATCTAGAATCCTAGCCTTTTGGGACATTGAGATTGATAGGACTGTGGTTTGAAGCCAGCCCAGGAAGCAAAGTTCACAAGACTCTCATCCCAACCTAGCAAAAGGGCACAGTGTTGCTCATCTTTCATTCCTGCTACATGTGAAGCATAAATAAGATTGTGGTTCTAGGTTGGCCAAGCAAAAATCAAGACTATATCTCAAAAATAATGAGAGCAAAAAGGGCTGGAGGCACCTGGGTAGGAACGTCTGTGAGACTCCTATCTTCAATAAACTACTCAGAAAAAGCCAGAAGTGGTGCTGTGGCTCAAGAGGTAGAACGCTAGTCTTGAGCAAAAGAAGCTCATGGACAGAGCCTAGGACCAGAATTCAAGCCCCAGGAACTAGCCAAAAAAGGGGGAGCTGGAGGCCTGGCTCAAGGAGTAGAATACTGGTTTAGCAAATGTAAAGCCCTGAGTTCAAAGTCCAGGACTGCCAAACCACTACAAACAAGATGTTCCAAGATTGTAATTCCAAAGTTACTATAGTACACCACAAAGCCTCCAATAAAAACCAATCTTAGCCAGATGCCGGTGGCTCATGCCTATAATCCTAGCTACTCAGGAGGCTGAGATCTGAGGATTGCAGTTCAAAGCCAGCCCGGGCAGGAAAGTCCATGAGACTCTTATCACCAATAAACCACTAGAAAACCTGAAGTGGTGCTGTGGCTCAAGTGGTAGAGCACTAGCCTTGAGCTGAAGAGCTGAGGGACAGCGCCCAGGCTCAGAGTTCAAGCCCCACAACTGACAAAAACAAAAACAAAAAAAACACAATCTTTTGGGCTGGGAAGGTGGCTCAGTGGTAGAGTGCTTGCCTTGCATCCATGAGGCCCCGGGTTTGATTCCTCAACACCACATAAGCAGAAAAAGCCGGAAGTGGTGCTTTGGCTTAAGTGGTAGAGCACTAGCCTTAGGCCCAGAGTTCAGGCCCCACGACCTACTATAAAAAAAAAAAATTCAAATGTGTTGTATGTGGTCCTAAATTCATGTACTGGATGTTCTCTGTTGACCCATGAACACAAAGCATTTAAACTGACATCATTAAATTTTCCATATAAGGATTATGTGAGATTGCTAACAGCCTTTGATGAAGGGTTGAGAAGCATAACGTAGAAGAATGTTGTTGAAAAGTATTTCTAAGACAAAACATTTCAGAAGATAGTCTTCACAGTTGAAGAGGAACACATGAAAAACCAAAACAAACACCAATACCAAGCATGATAATCCTAGCACTTGGGAGGCTGAGGTAGAAAGATAGGAGGCCAAGCTGGGCTATATAACAAAACCTTGTCTCAAAAACAAAACAAACCTAGAAAAGAAAATTTTAAAACATATCCCTTCTAGTCTACATCCATACTTCCTTCCCAAGAGATTGCTTACTCATTGTGAGAATCACTCCTTTTAAGAGAACTCTCACCCACTGTCATGGAGCTTGACTGCATGGGAGGCTCCTTTTCCCTCCAACTGGCTGAGGGATACAGTAATCCCCGACAAACCTTCCCTAAATTTGAATCAGTTGTCCACACTATAAAGGGGCTTCGGCACAGTAGCCTTGGATGGATATATTTTTTTTTTTCTTTTTTCTTTTGGCCAGTCCTGGGGCTTGAACTGTCCCTGAGCTTCTTTTGCTCAAGGCTAGCACTCTACCACTTGAGCCACAGCGCCACTTCCGGCCTTTTCTGTTTATGAGGTACTGAGGAATTGAATCCAGGGCTTCATGCATGCTAGGCAAGCATTCTACCACTAAGCCACTTTCCCAGCCCCATGGATGGATCTTGCTATGGATGATGATTGATAGCTGGTTGTCTAGCAGGTCAGTATTAAGACATATCACCCCTCAGGGACATCCATTCATTTTAGCAAGCTCAACATTCTTACTGGGGAGGAGAAACATGTCCCTAAAAACAATGTAATTAGCACAGGAAGTATTTCTTTACATTGTTCCACAGAATAGCAGCAGAACACTGTGATGCTTTCTTTGGTGTGATTTTCATGTGTACATCTTGAATATCAAGAAAAAAAATTACAGACCAGGATTGCCAGGTGCCAGTGGCTCATGCCTGTTAATTGTAGCTTTTCAGGAGGCTGAGATATAAGAATGACAATGCAAAGCCAGCCAAGGCAGGAAAAACCATGAGACTCTTCTCTCCAATTAACCACCAAAAAGCTGGAAGTGGAGCTATCGCTCAACTGGTAGGGAGCTAGCCTTGAGCAAAAAAGTTCAAGAACCTTGTCAAGACCCTGAGTTTGAGTCCTAGAATTGGCATGCAAAATCCAGGATTTTTACATTGTAGTCGTTCTACTCTTTCTATTATAAGGTGGAATAGCAATTTTATGATCCTCCTACCAACAACTTTAAAGATTCGAAGAACAATTATCTTTTCCAGGCACAAGTACTAGTGCCTCAAGTGCCCATAGCTCAGGCCTGTAATCCTAGCTACCCAGGAGGCTGAGATCTGAGGATAAAGGTTTGAAGCTAGCCCAGAAGTTTGAGACTCTTATGTCCAGTTAATCTCCCAAGTGGAGATATGGCTCAAGTGTTTAGTGTTCCAGCCTTGAGCAAAATAAGCCAAGCAAAAGCTTGAGGCCCAGAATTCAAGAAGGGTTGTTGCCAAAGTCCAAACAGGCAGATGTGCAATGTTGGCCTTGAAGTCAGGACTTTCTGGAGTGAAGACTAGAAAGGGAGGCACTGAAGGAGGGTGGACTACCACCCGAAGGAAGCTTTGCCCAGCCTCCACTGGTGAGGTGTGTATATATTCCACTGAGTTGTTGGCCTGGCTGATGTTCTCATCTGCAAGTCTTTGTGTGGGACCTCCCTGGGTTTCTCATCATGGGGAAGGCCAGAATTCAAAAGAATGTTCCACTCTGGTGAAAACCTGTCTTAGGTGGAAGCACCAAATTGATGGAATTCTTAAGGGGTAGGATCATTCTAATCTAGAGTAGGTAATCTCTGAGACTGAGCCTGGCTATCCTCAAGGGTTGTAACCAGGCACCACCTCTGACTTCCTCCCAGCTCACTTGACTGAAACTGTGACTAACCCAGTTTCACTCTGAGCACGGAATAAACTTTCTCATTGTTACCCTGAGCCTGGTGGTTGTGGCAGGCCTTGGAGCCTCTCACTAGATTTCCTTCCCACCACCTTGGCTCTTCGGTGACACTCATTCTTCCCAACACTAACTAGGTGTGGAATCATAGTACGTGACCAGGATTTCTTTTTCTTTTTCTTTTTTTTTTGGGTCCAGTCATGGGGCCTCAACTCTGGGCCTGGGCACTGTCCCTCAGCTCTTCAGCTCAAGGCTAGCGCTCTACCACTTGAGCCACAGCACCACTTCCGGCTTTTTTTCTTTTTGCTTGTGTGGTGCTGAGGAATTGAACCCAGGGCCTCATGCATGCAAGGCAAGCGCTCTACCACTGAGCCACCTTCCCAGCCCCAGGATTTCTTATATTGTGTTTACTGTCCTCATAGTTCCTTCTGAATTATTTTTATGAATCATTTATCCTGATCTTCCCCTCCTAGACCACACACACAGACACACAGCATGCTAAATCCTTACTTAACTGCTCTGGTGTGCTTCAACCAACTAACATTCAGAGTTAACCTTCTCAGTTTTCTTATATGCCTAATGGATCATCATTTATCATGACAAGTATTAGAAATAGTAGTTAGGTGCTAAGCAAATGGCAAGAAGTCATATTGGCCTTCTAGTCTTCCTGTTGCAGTCAAGGCTTAACCTAAAGAGAATATTTGATACATATGGATAAAGGCAGCCTTTCCACAACACTGTGAGAGCCTGTCTGTGTTACCAAGGAAACACTTCGCAGGGCTCAATAAACAGGTTTCTGTGTAAAATAGTGGAGAGTCAAAAGGCTGAGGACATTGGCCTCAAGAATTTTGGGGCTTGGGAGATGGTAGCCTCACAGGGCCAAGAAAGCCAGTCTTGAGTTGGAAGTGATGGCTGGAGCCCTATCAGAAAGCAAGACTCCCAGGCCCAAAAGATGGTGCCTGATCTTTTGTTTAGATACTGGGCTTGGACTCAAGGGCTAAGGATGACTGTACTGCTGACCCTTTGGCCTTGGTGAGAGATGGGAGTAGCACCTCTCAAGTTTTGTTGTTCATTCTCTTTTCCAAGAACATGTTATGATGTTACTTAGAAAACTCTACAGGTATCTATGTCTTTCTTTACTTTGTCTTTACCTTTTCACTTACTTAGTATGCAAAAGACCCTGGGTTCAATCTCAGCACCAAAACACCCCCAAACCAAAACAAACAGTTGAGTTGGAGGGTGGGAGGTGGAGGTACCCTGGTACAAAGTAGAAGCAGCTCAAGTGACAGATCCCCATGGGATGAGAAACTTGTCACACATCACTCCAAGAAGTTTTCCAGCAAGGCAGAAGAAACATCACACATACACTAAAATGCAAACACAGATCTTCGAAAGGTAGTACCATTTTATTTAGTGTTATAGGAAACTTTAGGTTACTTCTTACAAACACAACCAAAGAAATACAAACCTCACGCGGGGTGCCGGTGGCTCACGCCTGTAATCCTAGCTACTCAGGAGGCTGAGATCTGAGGATCACGGTTCAAAGCCAGCCCGGGCAGGAAAGCCCGTGAAACTCTTATCTCCAATAAACCACCAGAAAGCCGGAAGTGGTGCTGTAGCTCAAGTGGTAGAGGGCTAGCCTTGAGCTGAAGAGCTGAGGGACAGCACTCAGGCCCAGGATTCAAGGCCCACGACCGACCAAAAAAAAAAAAAAAGAAATTCAAACCTCCCAAAGTAATAAAGCAGAAAATAATAATCCTATAATCCAAAAACACTGGGCAATCCTTCAAATGTAGGGAAGGGAAAGTCAATTTAGTAACTTACATAGTAAATAGGAGAATCCAGAATTGAGAATGGTACAGATACTAGGAGACTGAGTTCTCCATCTAAAACAATTTTTCAGCATTGGGGATCCTTATAGAAGAAAAACAAACAGACATTGGAGCTAAGGTGTAGCTCAGTGGTATAGCATGTGCTTAAGCTTACACAGAGCCCTGGGTTCAACTCCCAGAGGGAAAGGAAAGAGGGAAAAGGCTGGCTGGGAGAAGGGATGCAAGGAAGAAAGATCTTATGTTATTTCAACATTAACAGGTCTTTGACTCAATACAATATGTGGTAAAGCATCATGGACTCTTTCTCTGCAGTGCTGTACTTCCGGCTGGGAGGCAGATAGCTCACCTCATTCACACAGGTGCACATGAACAGCCCTCTATTGGTCCACAGCTACTGAGCACATCACCTCATTAAGATGACCACATTAAGAAGGAGAGGGAGCCAGGAGCTAGAGGCTTATGCCTCTAATCCTGGCTACTAGGAGATGGTGAGATCTGAAGATCACAGTTCAGAACCAGCGTGGGCAGGAAAATCAATGAGACTCTTATCTCGCATTAACCTGCAAAAAGCCAGAAGCAGAGCTGTGGCTCAAGCGGTACAGCACTAGCCTTGAACAAAAAAAGCCAAGGAACAGCACAAAGCCCCAAGTTCAAGCTCCAGAACTGAAGGGAGGGTGAGAGAAAGAGAAAGAAAACAAAAGGGGAGGGCTGGGAAGGTGGCTCAGTGGTAGAGCTCTTGCCTTGCATGCCTGAGGCCCTGGGTTCGATTCCTCAGCACCACATAAGCAAAAAGAAAAAAGCCGGAAGTGGCGCCGTGGCTCAAGTGGTAGAGGGCTAGCCTTGAACTGAAGAGCTGAGGGACAGCGCCCAGACCCAGAGTTCAGGCCCCACGACCGGACCCCCAAAAAAAAAAAACCAAAAGGGGAGAACAGGACATCTGCTAAGGAATAAGATGCTATGAAACAAGTGGGCCATAGGTGACATTTTTCTTGAAGATGACATCCAAATGAAGCTCACTGGCATATGCCAGATCCAGGAGCTCCAACACTCCAATTCACAGACCTCTGCTGCTAGCAGAGCAAGGTACAGCTTCTCTTAGATAAGCCCCTTCCCCAGGGCCCACAATGAATCAACAGTTAGCAACTCCAGGTTATCTATGTTATATGGTAACAGGAATGCTATTAACGAATTTCTTCCAGCTCTGGCAGAAGCCAGACACCCATGAAGTAAATTGTCCTTCATTCTTCAGAGTTCCCAAGTGGCATTTCAGAGCACAGGAATTCACTCCTCCAGCTAGATGACTCTCCACATACTCAGATCCTAGCAGCAGGTATCTCTGAGCTCCTAATGAACAAGGCAGGTCCATACCTCATCTGTTCCAAGGAAGAGAAGCTAAGCACACCTGCTCCCCAGTGCCCTTGGGTTGTCACAGTCAAATATATTTATATCAAGTAAAAAAAAAAACAAAAAACAGGATGCAGAACAGATACATATCCATGTACATTTTCAGAGTTCAAGCGAGTATACAATTTTCATTACAGGCTTATCAATAATTTTCATAGCACTATAAAAATACAAGTCATCTGAGAAGTTTACAGTGTTTCCCTGGTACTGTAGGAGAGAATTAAGTTAAATTAAATAGCTGTGTGTCATTAAAAGCCAGTAAGCTAGATGAACATACAGTGTCACCTTCATGTTAAAGTGCTCCAATCTAAACAATGTCATGGCAAGCACAATCCTGAAAAGGGTTTAGGCTGCCAGCCATCTTGCTTTCTACCCTCTACATGACAAGAGCATTCCAGAAGAGATTCTAAATTTACTCTAAAGCCTGCCCTCGACACTGGTCTGACATAATTTTTCTCCCAAGAGAATTGTCAAGACTTGAGATTCTATCACAACCAGGAGGGAAAAAAAATTAACAAAACAAAACTTTCTAATTCAAGCATGAGGTGACCAGTAGTGAAATTATTATCTTAAAAATCTGATGCGGTGCTATTAAGAAAGGGCCCAGTGCCCTAGTTAAAAATATACATGTATATTAACCTAGTTTGTAAAATATAGCAACCCACCAAGTGTATGACATACACCTGTAATTCCAGCACTTGGGAAGCCGAGGCAGGAGCATCCATTGAGGCTAGCCTGGCCTAATAGTAAATCTTTGACTCAAAACAAAAAGTAGCAATTGAAAAATAAGTATCATCTTCTTGCTACTTGTAATTTTTTTTATGATTTTTATGGTGCTAGGGAGAAATCCAGCATTTCACGCCATTATAAGTAAGCTGAGCTATACCCCAGCCCTGCTCCTCTAACCAGAGTAAAATATCTGTGAATCTATTATCTAAAAAGATGCAACCATTTAAAAGCTGAGGCATTTCTGTTCTCTACTGCCTTTTAAATTTTACTAACTATATTAAATCCTTCATTGTAACTTCTTCTATATCCAAGACATAACTTGGATTTCCTTTCAAGCAAGGTACTCAGGAGGCAAGATATGTGATGATGGGGATGGAACCCAGGGCCTCACACATACTGGCCAAGCTCTCTACTACTGAGCCACCTCCTCAGCCTGGCCCACCCTTCATCTAGAGGAGTCAATGGGCCCCGCTGCCCTCCAGGAAATGCTGCTCGGGCCAAGCAAAAACACTAATGGAAATAGCTAAAGGGACTTATTGAAATAGTTCTCTATAACCTAGAACTGTCTTAGTAGGCTTACCCATCCCTTATGAGGGTGAAGGCACTAAACAGGCCAGTGGAGCCAGCAGATACTCACCTGTCACCAGAGGAGAGCTTTCACTGAATTCCCCCCCAACCGAGTGAAAGCAATTCTTTAATGCCTTATTCTTCTCTAAGTATCTAGGAGAAGATCCTGTGGTTCATATGTTAAGGCTAGAGAATGATGGCTACTGATGTTTGAAAGAGGCACACACACAGAAGTTCTTTTCCAGTCCCTTCCTAGCCCCCCCCAAAAAATTCTGAGAAGCCTAGTCAATTTATTTGGTATCAAAAATTTAAATCTACAGCAGAAAAGTCACATACTTGAGCTGCTCAAAGAACAAGAAAGTAGGCAAAACTCAGCACCAAATTCAGGGGCACTTTCTCATTTCATTCTAAATTTTAATGGCTGGAGATTAGTATTCAAAAAGTTTCATTATGGAAGAATAATCACTTCAGTGTTAAAATATCAGTACTTCTGGTACCATCCGAACCTCTGGCTCAGGATCAGTTCTTATTGACTATATCTCTGGTGGGCATAAAGTACTTCTAACCCAATTAAAGGCACAGTGGCATTTAAAACTAAAACCCTGGGAATATACAATAAAAGATTTGTTGTAACAATTAATCTGACTTCAGCTGGTAGAATTAACTCTCTCCAGATAAGATGCAAGGGAGATGGTGACTGGTAGGCTGTCTGTTGGCTGGTTATGAGACAGTCCAAGGCCTGATATCAAGTGCTGGTAGAAACAGGCTCACAAAACCATCTAGGTGTTTGGTTCTGGTGATTCAAATTTTTCCTGCTTTTTTGCCAACCTGAGCCGGAACGCGAAGGATGTTAGGAGTTTCTTCCATGACCCGGACTAGCAGATTGTCAATGTAGTCTTCCAGCTCTCGGACCTGGAACTCCTTCTTACTTATGGTTTCCTTCTGTTTGAGGACCAGCTGGATCAGCTCTTCATGAGTCAGCTGTGCATAGGCAAAGGCAGGGTCTGAAGGGTTGTATTTCTTTGGAGAGAGAAGAAAGGGGGAAAATGGTTATAAAGTTAGCATAGACACAACTACCTAAAACAAAAACAAAAGAGGAAAATATTATTAGTAATCTGAGTTTCTTGGGAATTCTCTTTTCTCTTCTTGTTATTCTAGTACTAGGGCTTCAAATCAAAGCCTTCAGCTCTTGCCAGGCTTTTCCCGCCCCCCTCCCCTCCCCGAATCATGGAAGGCTCTACCACTTATGCCTCCACTTCTGGCTTTTTGGTTGCTAATTGGAGGTAAGGGTCTTACGGACTTTTCTGCCCATGCTGGCTTCAAATCTTCATCCTTATATCTCAGCCTCCTGAGTAGCTAGGATTACAGAAACGAGTCATTGATGGCTGACTCTTATGAAGCTTCTATATAGGGTCAGAGAGCAAATATTTCAGACTTTGAAAACCACCTCTAGCTCCTGTTGTATGTACTTCTTTGTCTGTTTTGTGTGTGTGTGTGTGTGTGTGTGTGTGTGTGTGTGTGTGCAAATCCTAGGGCTTGAACTCAGGGCTTGGGCACTATCCCTGAGCTGTTTTGTGCATTGTGTTTTTTTTTTTTTCCCTCAAGTCTAGCACTCTACCACTTGAGCCACAGCTCCACTTTGTTTTTGGGCATGGTGGTTAGTTGGAGATAAGAGTCTCATGAGTTGGGGCTGGGAATGTGGCTTAATGGTAGAGTGCTTGCCTAGCATGCATGCATGAAGCCCTGGGTTTGATTCCTCAGTACCACATAAAGATATAAAGCCAGAAGTGGTGCTGTGGCTCAAGTGGTAGAGTGCTAGCCTTGAGCGAAAGAAGCTCAGGGACAGTACCCAGGTGCTAGGTTCAAGCCCCAGGACTGGGGAAAAAAAAAAGTCTCATGGACTTTCTGCCCAGGCTGGCTTCAAACCTTCATCCTCCTATCTCAGCCTTCTGAGTAGCTAGGATCACAGGTGTGAGCCACCAACAACCAGGTTTGTATGTACTTCTTTATTTTGTTTTATGATCCTTCAAAAGTATAAAAATCAAGGGCTGGAATGTAGTTCGATGGCAGTATGCATGAGGCCCTGAGTTCAATTCCCAGTGCCACCAAAAACTAGATAAGAAAGAGAAAAAGAAATGTAATCAGGAAGTGGAGCTGTAGCTCAAGTGGTAGAGCGCTCGCCTTGAGCTGAAGAGCTGAGGGACAGCGCCCAGGCCCAGAGTTCAAGCCCCACGACTGACAAAAAAAAAAAAAAAAGAAATGTAATCAGCCAGGCATGGTGCTACATATCTGCTACATTAGCTACTTGGGAGGCTGTGGCATAAGAAACCAGCTGGGAGACATAGCAAGAATGAGAGAGAGAGACAGAGAAAACCACCGCAGAAGAATCTGGTGATCAGATGAATGGAGTGACCACTCAGAGACACCTCTCCAAAAAATTCATTTCATATGGGCAAAAACTTGCAGAGTCAAAGCCAAGCGCTACCAGGTCTATCATCTCTGACAGCTACCAAGGACATTCTTTGGGTACACAGTGGCCCGTCCTGGAACTGAGTGTTCCTTCTTCAGATGAGAGCAAGCACCCTGAACAGTAATTTTTAACCAACACTTATAATCTGGGATGATGGGATGATATGAGTCCTACTGCAAGCCAAAGAGAGCTGAACCATGAAAGGAAACACAACAAGAAGTAACATGCTGTATCAAGTCTCCAGGAAGGAATAAGTAAATTTTCTGATACTCTGTTGAAGAAGTAACATGGTGTATCAAGTCTCCTGGAAGGAATAAGTGAAATTTCTGATAATCTGTTTTAGAAGTAACATTCTGTATCAGGACTCCAGGAAGAAATAAGAAGAAAAATTTCTGATAACCTGTTGTTTGTGAGATTTGCAAATTGAAAGAAATAAGATTTAAAGAAACTATAAATGGGTTTTGCCTCAGAACTCAAAGGGAGTATCAGTTTCACTGACCCAAGGGTCAATGAGAGACCTTCTCTAAGCAGGTCAGTCAAGGGCAGAATCACCGTTCAAGAGCATGATGGGAGGCCCTGTCCCAGTCACTGACGCAAACTGCCTGCATACAATCCAGAAATCAGGGAAAGGAGTTTCATCCTCCCATTGCAGCCAGGAATAAACGCTCAATGATTTCACCAGGTATCAGTAGCTCAGACCTGTAATCTGGGCTATTCAGGAGGCTGAAATCTGAGGGTCCTGGTTTGAAGCCAGCACAAGCAGGAAAGCCAATGAGACTCTTATCTCCAATTAACCGCCAAAAAGCCAGAAGTGAAACTGTGGCTCAAGTGGTAGAGCACTAGCCTTGAGCATAAAAGCCCAGGGACAGTGCTCAGGCAGAGTTCAAGCCCCACAACTAGCACAAAAAGAAAAGAAAAAGAAAAAGCTCAATGATGACAATGCTATCTTGGAAACACACATTGGTATTTTCATCTGACTGGGGTCTGAACCCAAATCAGGGTGTACATAAGTAGGTGAGATGTTGGACTACTTGCTTCAAAACTGCTTTTCCTTTGTCTCCCTTTTAAATTTGTTGAAAGCATACATTCACAGGGTATATCCTTTGAACCTCACTTACTGTTTTCTTTTTCTGGCATGCTGGCAATCAAACTCAGGTCTTGTGCAGGCTAGGCAAGTGATATACCACTGAACTACGTCCTTAGCCCACTCTATTTGTGACTTCTGAAACTAGATACAACCAAAAAGTTGCATGCATGCAGAGTTCTGGAGACTGGCCGCACAATAGCTCTAGAAAACTTAAATGGTACATTTTTGTATTACATTTTACCGTAATAAAAATTACAGTACATGTAACTGCATGTCTCATTATATTTCATATATTAATTATAGCAGATTGCATGTCTAATTATATTTCATATCAAGAAAAAAACATTTTTGCCAATAAAGGCCAAGAATATTTCAAGGAGTTTTTATTGTTGTTATTGTTTCGATTGGTGGTTTTGGTTGAGACAAGATCTCCCTATGTAGCCTAGGATGACTTTGAACTTGAGATGCTCCTGCCTCAGACTCCTGAGTGATGGGATTATAGGTGTATACCACCATGCCTAGCCCTCAATGTTTTTTAGACTACACCTCTACTCTATAAGGATTGTATATATCCAAAAATGTTTATTAGGGACTGAGCATGTAGTTTAGTGATGGAGCACATAGTTTTCATGTGTGAGGCTTTGGGTTAAAGCTCTGATATTGGGGGCTGGGAAGGTGGCTCAGTGGTAGAGTGCTTGCCTTGCATGCATGAGGCCCTAGGTTCGATTCCTCAGCACCGCATAAGCAGAAAAATCCTGAAGTGACGCTGTGGCTCAAGTGGTAGAGTGCTAGCTTTGAGCTGAAGAGCTGAGGGACAGCGCCCAGGCCCAAAACACACACACACACACACACACACACACACACACACACACACACACACACACACACACACACACACACACACACACACACACACACACGAAATAATGCCAGAGCTTCTCTCCCCCCACCCTCCCTGCCTCAGTCATGGGGCTTGAACTCTGGGCCTGGCGCTGTCCCTCAGCTCTTCAGCTCAAGGCTAGCACTCTACCACTTGAGCCACAGCACCACTTCTGGCTTTTTTCTTTTTGTTTATGGGGTGCTGAGGAATCGAACCCAGGGCCTCATGCATGCAAGGCAAGCGCTCTACCACTGAGCCACCTTCCCAGCCCCTGGCATTATTTCTTAAAAGAAAGAAAAAGCTGGGTGCCAGTGGCTCATGCTTGTAATCCTAGCTACTCAGGAGGCTGAGATCTGAGGATTGCAATTCAAAGCCAGCCCAGGCAGGAAAGTCTGTGAGATTCTTTTTTTTAATTTTTTTATTTTTTGGGTCCGGTTGTGGGGCCTGAACTCTGGGCCTGGGCACTGTCCCTCAGCTCTTCAGTTCAAGGCAAGCTCTCTACCACTGAGCCACCTTCCCAGCCCCTTCTGTGAGATTCTTATCTCCATAAACCACCAGAAAACAGGAAGTGATGAGTGACTCAAGTGGTAGAGTGCTAGCCTGAGCTGAAGAGCTTAGGGACAGCACCCAGGCCCAGAGTTCAAGTCCCACAGCCAACCAAAAAAAAAAAAAGGAAAGAAAAAAGGAAAAAACAAAAGGAAAAAAAAGCACAAGCTAGTTTACAGAGGGAATTTAGAGGCAGAGAGATGAGGAAGCACTGTCTGGGATACTCAGGCACCGAATGACTGTAATACAGGGTCAGAGGTAAGAGTCCAGGCAGTGTAATGTGCTCTAGAAGCCTAGACAAGCAACATCACTGCTCCCCAGGTGCCCAAGACAAGTTCAAAGAAGTGCTGTCTGAACCAGACTCTGACAATGAATTGGGGTTTAGCTCAGTAGTAGAGCACTTGGCTAGCATGTGTGAGATTTTGGGTTCAATCTCTCAAACTTCAAAATAAATAAGGTTCATTTCTCCTCCAAAAACATTTTTTTAACTATAAAAGGAATATTTAACCATGACACAGCATGCATATAATCCAGCGCTTGGGAAGCTGAGGCTAAAGAATCTTACATTTAGCAAAGTGGGACCCTGTGGAGGAAGGAAGGAAGGAAGGAAGGAAGGGAGGGAGGGAGGGAGGGAAAGGGAAGACAGAAGAAAGAGAGGAGAGAGGGCAGGAGGAAAAAAGAAAAGAAGAAAAGAGAAGAAAAAGAAAAGTATTGTTCATGGTGAAAAATCTCAAATACAGAAGGACAAAACTACTATCCATAATTCCAACAAATACTGTGTGAGTCCCTTTCTTATTTTTCATGGGTTTCTTTTTTTTCCCCTTAGAAATAGTAATTTTAGCCAGGTACCAGTGGCTCATGCCTGTAATCCTAGCTACTCAGAAGGCTGAGATCTGAGGATTGCAGTTCAAAGCCAGCCCTGGCAGTTAAGTCCGAGAGACTCTTATCTCCAATTAACCACCAGAAAACTGGAAGTGGCATTGTGGCTCAAGTGGTAGAGCACTAGCCTTTCACTCTTCAGTGCAAACTCAGGGATAGCACCCAGACCCAGAATTCAAACCCCACAACTGACAAAACAAAAAGAAATATTACTTTTATTTTCCTCAAGTACTTTTTTGTTTTTTGCACCACTTCTGGCTTTTTCTGCTTATGTGGTGCTGAGGAATTGAACCCAGGGCCTTATGCATGCAAGGCAAGCGCTTTACCACTGAGCCACCTTCTCAGCCCGCCCCAAGTACTCTTAAACTGTATCTTCACCAACTAAAGGCCAGACTTATGGAATAACACCTTTTTTAGGCTGTAAATCTTTTCAGGAGTCAGAATGTATCAAATACCATGGTTCCAGCATGCTTCTACCCCAGAATTCTAACCAGTCACAGAAGCTTCTCTTTTCATACCTTGGGTTTCTTTATAGTATATTTCACAAGGTAAAACAGTATCAAATATAATAGAGTTTGATTTTTTTTTTTTTGTCGGTCATGGGGCTTGAACTCTGGGCCCTAGGGTGCTGTCCTTCAGCTCTTCAGCTCAAGGCTAGTGCTCTACTTGAGCCACTGAGCCACTTCCAGTTTTCTGAGTGGTTTATTGGAGATAAAGAGTTTGATAATTTTTGAAAATTACTATTAGTTTGTATTTTTCCATCATTAAATTTCAGTTAAAATTGTTTTACTACTTATAATGCCATTAGATTTCAACATATTGCTAAATATTTCAGTTGTTTTCAACCTCTATAAGTAAAATAGCCTTATTAAAATGCATGAGCAGAGCCAGGTGCCGGTGGCTCATGCCTGTAATAGCTACTGAGGAGGCTGAGATCTGAGGATCACAGTTTAAAGCCAGCCCTGGCAGAAAAGTCTGTGAGACTCTTAACTCCAAGTAACCACTAGAAAACTGGAAGTGGTTCTGTGGTTCAAGCAGTAGAGCACTTGCCTTGAGCTGAAGAATGCAGGGTCAGCACCCAGGCCAAGAGTTCAAGCCCCAGGACAGACCAAAAAAAAAAAAAAAAAAAAGCATGAGCAGAGATAGATGCTGGTGGCTCACACCTATAATCCTAACTACTCAGAAGGCTGAGATCTGAGGATTGCGGTTCAAAGCCAGCCTGGGCAGCAAAGTCCATGAGACTCTCATTTCCAATTAACTACCAAAAAAAAAAAAAGCTAGAAGTGGAGCTATGGCTCAAGAGGTAGAGCACTAGCCTTGAGCAAAAAGTTCAGGGACAGTGCTCAGGCTCTGAGTTCAAGCCCCCAAACTGGCACACACAAAAAAAGAACATGAACAAAACACTTTGGTCATATCTCTAAATATTTCTCTAAGATAAATACCTAGGATTGAAAAGGCAAACATATTAAGTCACCGCATACAAACTGTCAACCAACTGAGGTGGACTACTCACCGTGGAATTTGTAAGCAAAGAGGAAAGAAGATATACAGGACTTCAAAATCATTAGAAGACCCTAGTTATGGGTTTTTTAAAATATGTAAAACAATCCAGCCTTATAGAAAATAAGAGGGCTATGGAGAAACTAAAGCACAGAGAAAATATTCACCAATGCAAGAAAGGTTGGTGTTCACTGTCATGCACTTCTTACCAGGATTTTTTACACTGAATTTTACTTTTTACATAGTTGCAATAATGACATACATTTAAAATGAGTGTCCAACTTTTTCAATAAAACTGAAAATGTTTGGATCTACTTGGCTTTCCTGTTTCATAATTGAAGTCTTAATGCCACCTGGGTAAATAATATGGTAAAAAATAAACCAGATATGAAAAACCACCTGGGTAAAAAATAAACCAGATATGAAAAATGGGATCCTAAAACAATAGCTCAAGGGCTTGGGGGAGAAATCATGGTAGCAATGATCCAGGTAGCTTTCCATAACTTTACCTATGCAATTTCTTTCTCCAGCCTCTCCCTTATTTTGCAACATTCTGAAGAGTAGTTATTTTTCTAAGTACTGTTTTAGGTTTAGTACAAAGTACCCATTATACAAAAAAAGCCACAAACAGTCCCCAGGGAACTTTCCAGAACATTTCTTAGGGAGGATCTAGGACTAAGAGATTTGTGGAAGGTGGAGGGGTAGCTGCCAGGCTTACAAATCATAAGCAAGAATAAGCAGAGTTGCCTTACTTTTGGAGGTAAATTATTCTCTTTATCTGTTCTAGGAGATAAGCCCCTGGTTTAAATGCAATTTACAGACTAAATAAAATGGGAGCCAAGAGTCTTGCTAATTTCCCGGAAAAGAGGTGTTTGTTTCTCTCTGGGTTTAATCCCAGCATCAAAAAAAAAAAAAAAAAAAAAGTAAAAATATAATCAGAAAGGACCACAAAGCATTCCACGTAAAAGGGAGGATGGGAGGCTGGTAAATGACCGTCTTCCATTATCACCACCTTGGTGATGCTCTTTGGCCTCATTTCCTGATAAATGTTATTAATTCTAGGAAGATAGTGTTGATGTTTCTACCTGCGATGACTACAGAGACACCAAAGCCCAGGGGATAGACTTATAGTAAGGATAAATTTCTAGGCTAATGTAGTAGGTACATAGTTTTGGCAGTGGCTAATATTTTTGAGAACAATGCTTACCACTTGCCCTATTAGCATGTTCATCAAGAGAGCAAAGGGGCTAGATGATGCTAACTTGTTTTCAGCAATTATTTCTTATGATTACTGAGGGGTCCTAAATTGGTTCTTGGACTGAAAAAAACAGAACTGAAAAAAACTACTGGGGCAACTGGCAAAAGCCTAAATATGACTGCAGATGACAAATTGGTGCTATGTCTAGGTTAAATTTCCAGATTTTGATGAATGTCCTGTATTTATACAACTTACTTTCTAATAATTCAGGGAGAAAAAGACAAGCGCATGGCTGTCTGTATACACAGAGAGCAGGGGAGGGAGAGGAAGTTGAAAGGGGGAGAGATAACGCAAACCTGGTCAAATGTGAACAGTTGGTGAATCCGGAGGAAATGTTTACAAGGATTCTTTGTACTGTTCTTGCAACTTTTGTTATGTTTGAAATAATTTCAAGACAAAGTTACAAAACAAGTCATCTATGGAATAAATTACAATTCAAGAATTTTACATTTCCCATGAGAGATAAAAAGGAAACAGGAAGAAAGAAAGCATCTGACATGAACAGGCCAGGTTTTTCTTCTGAATAAAAAGAAGTACCAGGGCCTGGGAGGGTGGCTCAAAAAAGATAAAATGAATGACCAAATGAATGGATGAACAAGATTTCCAGCATCAGCTTGACACACAAAGAAAAGCAATAGATAACAATATAAGAATAAGCAATTATTCATCCAATGGAAAGTCTAGGAGCTCCCAGAAATTACCCCAAAGTCCCAAAGCCATCAGCTGGTATTATTAGGTAACTCCTGCCACTGCCTGGTGTTCAAAGAGATGTCTTCAATGGTGACTTTTGGTGCTAGGATTTAAGCCCAAGGCATTGTCCATGTATGCTAGCAAGCACTTTGTGTGTGTGTGTGTGGGGGGGGGGGGGGGGGGAGGGAGCCAGTCCAGGAGTTTGAACATGGTCTGGGCACTGTCCCTGAGCTTTTTTTTTGCTCACGGCCAGCACTCTACCACTTGAGCCACAGATCTACTTTTGGCTTTTTGGATAGTTAGTTGGAGATAAGTTTCATAAACTTTTCTGCCCAGGCTGGCTTCAAACTTGATCCTCAGATCTCAGCCTCCCATGAAGCTAAGATTACAAGCATGAGCCACTAGTACCTGGCTCATTTTTCCTTTTGAGATGGGATCTTGCTGTGTTGCCTAGATTAGTCACAAACTAATAGAGTCAAGTAATTCTCTCCCTTTAGCCTCCAAGGTAGCTAGAATTATAGGCCTGAACTGCCATGCTAAGCTATAATGATGACTTTACACATGATAGCTATAGGTCTGTAACATGCCAACATGCCATACCTTCATCATTGCTTCATTGATGAGGTTCTCACTGATGATGGTGGCAGTTCCCAAACTGGAGTTGGTGATCTTGGTGGCTGTTGTATTCATTGGTTTCACAGGCTGGAGTCTAAAGAAAAGGGAAAGAAGATTCTGAAACCTTCCTGTAACCACAAAATTGAGAACTGCCCATCTCAAAGATGGCAGCTGGCAAAACAGATGAGAGAGGAGAGAGTAGAATACACTTTGTTCACATCTGTCGTCCAGGATCCATTCCAATGTTTCAGCTCCTGTGGAATCGAAAGCAGACAGGACAAGGCTGCCACACACAAGCCAGCAAAGCACATCCTGGGCCAGGTATCTTGATGTTCTCATTAGCTTTTTGCCAGGTTAAGACAATCAGGAGGGATTAAAGACAGACTTTACGGCCTGGGGTGAAACTCAGTGGCAAGGCAAGTACCAAGCACACATGGGTCTTGGGTTCAATCCCAAACACATCTACCTAAAAGGACCTCAGAAAGTCTCTTATATGTGAAGGTAACTATATCCTGTCACTAAGACTCCAATGGGCTTACAATTCAGAACAAGCACAACAGCTGCTCTTTGGACAGACTTCAACACCATGTGATTCTACTGCTCCATCTTGGCTTCTTCCTGACCCTCTTCAAGGAACATTTCTACAGATGGAGGGCTCCAGAATCTGATTCCTGGCTCCTGACTCTGCAGGATTCCTAAGCTATTTTTGAGAACTCCTACCATGATCTTGCTACTCATGCGATGGTCTTCAGGTATTCCCACCACAAGCCACAGCTTTTGTAAGACAGGCCCTCTCAGCCAGGTAGGCACATTGGGGGCTCAGGAGCTCGGTGGTTGGAAGCCAAGACCACTGCAGATAAAAGCAAAGAGTTACAGTCTCCCCATCTCTCACCTGTGCTTGGCTGCCCCCGTTCCTGTGCTTGGCTGAGCTGAGACTGGATGTGTTTCTGAGGGTGAGACCCAGGCCTGAAGAAGCGGCTTCCTCTTGCCAAAATTGTCAACTTTAGCAGCGGAGCCCTCTGCTGTTGCTTGTTTTTGAGATTCTGCTGCAATGGTGTGGTGAGTGTGGGAATGTGGAGAGCTGGGGAAAGAATGTGTAGCAGGAAAGGTCTCAGAGAGGGAGGGGCTGAGTACAGGAGAGTCCAGAGATGAGCCAGCAGGCTGACTCGGCATCCCACTTTCCTTGGCCTTTGTTTCTTCACAAGTATCAGGGCCTGGCAGCTGCTCATCTATGTCAAGATGTGATTTATGAATTCCCAAAGCTACTGTCTGCTCTACAGACAGTCTGCTGTCTGCTTTGGAGGCTTGTAGCCTTAGGACAAGCAGATTCTCTTTGGAAGAAGACCCAGACACCCCACCATTCAGCCCCCCTGCCTCCGCAGGAAAGGGAGGAGACCCACCGAAGTATGGAGCTTCTACTTCTGGCACTCTTGGCTTTGCTGTCTCCCTCATACCTTCAACCTCATCTACTCTTTCATCATCTGAGGCCACTTCAGGAATGGAAGGAAGGGACAAGTTCAGATCAGCCATAGGGGGAGGTTTCACATCAGAGGCAGATGGAAGACCACTCAGGGGATCAGACAATAGGCCTTCGTGATCGCTGGCTTTGCTCTGATACTGAGCTGTGAGGGTATTATCCCCTTCTATCTGGAAAAGTAGGCTGCCTTTTACTGAGCTTGCTTCACTCGTGGGGTCTTGGGAGCTCTCCTCATGAGAGGGGATGAGGAGCTGATCTTCTGTGTCCACAGGCTCCTTCTCTGTATCATCTGTGTGAGGAAGGCTGAGGGACTCCATACTAGATGTGGTTCCCGGGACAGCCTCCTCACAGGCCAACTTCTGGGGATGCCTTTTGTCTTCTGCTCCTAATCCTGTGGGTTTCTCCACCTCCTCTTGTGTAAAGAGCTGCTCAGAAAAGGACACACGCTTTTTTACTTTCTTTGGAGCCTCACTGGTGTTCAGATCCATCTCTTCATGTTTCTGTGTCATGGTGTCCAATGGGAGGGCTACTTCTTCCACCTGAAGGGGAGATGCTAATTCTTTGACTATAGGAGTCAATCCACCACCCCTAACTCTGTTCTCCCTCAAAGATCTAGACTGATTTCCAACGTCTATATCTCCCTCAGCTACAGACTTCTGGGAAAGACCTGTGATTGTGCCACTGCTGAGGAAAACAGCAAATGGTGCTCTGTGAGCCTCTTCAGGGCAGTGGACACAGTCCTCTTGTTCTTGACAGGAAACCCTCAGAGCCTCTTGCTGCTCCTGAAGATGATTTCCTGATTCATCACTGCTAGCTTCCCTTACCAGGTCAGACTCACTGTTCCTGCTCCTTGGAGAATCTCCTGTCTTTTCCCACACTGCGATGGGTGTCTGTTTGCAAAGTGATCCCAACGCAGAGGAGCCAGTGTTTGGAACTGGTGCTGAACTCTCCTTTTGCCAGCCTGCCTTAAGGAGCAAAGGTGGTTCTTCAGAACTGATCTGGCCCTCGCCCGTGGGGGCCCAGTGTTCAATTGGAGTGGATGTAGAAATAGGAGCTGTAATGGGGGATGAGAAAGATGAGGAGACAGAGGGACTTTCAGAGGAGTCTGTCTCTGAACCATGTCCTAATTCAGAAAGGTCAAGTGTCTGACCAGAGCTGGGAAGAAGAGCAGAGGAAAGAAGAGGAGAGTTGGGGGAAGAAGGAAACCTGGCTTTAGATTGAGCCTCTGGAGACACTTCCAGTCTGCAAAAAGGACAAAATAAAATCTGCCGGTCAGTTGCAGATGCATTGTGAGAGACAAAAAAACATGTAAAATTAAAATTTTTCTACGAGGGAGAGATTTTTAATATATACTTGGGGTTATGTTAGAAAGTTAGGGAATACCCACCCCATACAAAAAATGTACTTTTCATTTCCATAGGGCCTCACACATGCTAAGCACACACTCTGCAACTGAGCTTTATATGCTCCCAGCATACATAAAAGGTACCTTTATCACCAAGCACATTTGCCACACCAACATCTACTGCAGTAGGAATGGAAAAATCCAGCCAAGGTAACAGCCAATAATTCCAGATTACTACTTGATTATGGCAGGACAAAAAAAGTTCATCTAAGTGTATCAACATGAACTCCAAGAATTGAAAACAGGAGGTTCTTATTATGTCCTGTATGCAGTTATTTCTATTTTTTTTTCTGTTTTAATTTTCTGTACTCTTGTCTTGGCTCTTTTTGTTTTGTTTTATTTGATTTTTGTTTTGGTTTTGGTTGTGGAGCATGAACTCTGGGCCTGGGTGCTGTCCCTCAGCTCTTTAGTTCAAGGCTAGCACCTACCACTTGAGCCACAGCGCCACTTCTGGTTTTCTAGTAGTTAATTGGAGATAAGAATCTCAACGATTTTCCTGCCCAGTCTGGCTTTGAACTGTGATCCTCAGATCTCAGCCTCCTGAGTAGCTAGGATTACAGGCATGAGCCACCGGCGCCTGGCTGTACCTTTTGTCTTATATATAAATTTATTCAATCCGTGGAAGGGAAAGGGAATCACAGAAACAGCAGGGCAAAAGATGAACTAATGCAACAATGATACTCACTTGACACTATGTTGGAAATGAACTATACAAGTTGGGGGAGAAGGGAGTAGGGAGGGGTAAACAGGAGAAAATGAGAAGAGTAATAGTTTTTAAAAAGAAATGTACTCATTACCTACTTATGTAACTGCAAGCCCCTGTTCATCACTTTTACAATAAAGATACTAAAAATGAAAAAAAAAAATTTTTCTGCTTATGTGGTGCTGAGGAATCGAACCCAGGGCCTCATGCATGCAAGGCAAGCGCTCTACCACTGAGCCACCTTCCCAGCCCTAAAAATGAAAAATTTTTATAAATTTAAAGTTCATCTAAAAAGTTCAGTAAGAAATGTAACAGAAGGCAACAGGTCTGGATTTCAAAGAGAAAGGACATGTGTGCATGCGTGTGTGTCCAAGGAAAGTAGATCTCCAAAAAAAGGTTGGATTTCCCAGACTACAGAAACACTGAGCATGAACGTGTCACGTGAGAAAGCAGAAGGCTATCCAGGCTCACAAAGGTTTTGAGATCCGGGCACAGAGGAGACACAGAAAGCTGTCACAGGCACACTCAAAGGTCATTCATGCCAGCAAAGCAATGACACTGTACAATCAAAGACAGCATCTTCCTCAAGGGAAACGCTCAATAAAAACTTAATAAACACAGTTTGTGTACCCCACAACCCCAGCCTTGCATTCTAATTCAGCATTGGCTCTTATTGGCTTACTGAGAACAGGCCACACCTACTGGGTGGTAGCTTTGCGCTGGGAAACATGCTGCCTTCATGCAGCCTAGGCAAGCCCAGGCTGGTCCTCAGTAGGGACTAGGGAAAACAGACAGCAAACCTTTGGCAAATCTTTGTGCCATCATGGGACAGGCCAGGTTTGCTCTAGTAGAAAGAGGCCTTCCTCTAAGTCCCACAGAGAAAAGGGGCAAGCCCGGTGTGAGAGGAGTCAAGACTCACCGAGGCTTCACAGCTTTGGTCTGCGGAGCCCTCGCAGAAGGAATGGGTGGCTTTGGTTCACACGTGGTCTCCTGTCCCACTTCTGGCTCTGAGATCTGCACGTCTTCAAAGGGGTTGAGGGAATTGCCCTGTCTGGAGGCAACATCTGCAGCATCTTTCTCCGACCTTCTCACCGGGTCTTCCTCCTTGGGCTGGGCTTCTACAAGCATGCCTTCCTTCTCCTTGGAGGGGACAGCATGAGGGCTTTCACTTTCACTGCCCTTCACTACATCCTTCTTTCCTGTCACCAGAGAAAGCAAAGAGGATTTCTTGCTCTCTGGTTTTTTGCTATCTTTGGTTTCTCTGACAACCTCCAAGTTCACTGGAGCCATGTTTTCCCTAATGTCCCCACTGGCCAGAGGACGGTAGGATGGCAGAGACATGGACTTCAGCGAGTCCGTGGACTTTGGAGAGCCCTTGGTGGAGGTCTCAGACAGCCGCCTGTCTGAAGAGGTGCTGTCACCTTCCCCAGCCTCCTTCCAAGACCGTATGGCAAGGTTTTCAGTGGAGGAGAACAAATGCTTCTTCCGGAAGCCCTGGGGTGATGGGGAATTAGATGGACTACTGTCCTTGGTTTCACTCTTGGCCTCTGGTTGCTCCAGGTAAACATGGTTCCCATTGATACAGATGTTAGAGCGGGAAAGGAAGTCGTTCTTGGACCGAAGGCCCCCAAGAAAGGACAACCCTTCTTTCTTGGGAAGGCTGAAGTTGATTTGGTTCAGTTGTTTCGGATCCGCACTCACTGCTCTCTTTTGGGACATGACTAGGAAGGAATGCAGAGAGGGGACAGAGAATTAAATGATTGGGGACTGAAGAGGTGGCACATTGGTAAAGTCCTTGCCTAGGATACCTAAAGCCTTGGGTTTGAGTCCCAGTAAAAAAGGAAAGGGTGAATAAAAGAATAAAATGAGTGATTTACAATGGGCAGACGTTTGTCAGTTGCTGGATACAGTTTTGTTAAAAAATGAAAAAGGGCAGCCTTTTTCAAACAGCAGAAATTTAGCCATTGAAATTAAAGTTCAAGGCCAAGTATAATGGTAATTCCAGTAGAATTATGACTTTGAGGCCAGTCTGGACTTTACAGGGAGACCTGGTCCCCAAAATAAGTTAAGCTGGGTGCTGGTGGTTGACACCTATAATCCTAGCAACTCAGGAGGCTGAGATCTGAGGATCATAGTTTGAAGCCAGCCTGGACGGGAAAGTCTGGGAGAGTCTTATCTCCATTTAATCATCAAAAAGTCACTAGTATCCAGGTGCTAGTGGCTCACGCCTATAATCCTAGCTACTTAGGAGACTGAGATCTAAGGATTATAGTACAAAGCTAGCCTGAGCAGGGAAGTCTGTGAGACTCGGTTATCTCCAATTAACCACCAGAAAACGAGAAGTGGCGCTGTGGCTCAAAGTGGTAGAGCACCAGAGTTGAGTAAAAAAAGCTCAGAAACATGAGGCGGGAAGGTGGCTCAGCGGTAGAGCGCTTGCCTTGCATGCATGAGGCCCTGGGTTCGATTCCTCAGCACCACATAAGCAAAAAAAAAAAAGGAAAAAAGCTGGAAGTAGTGCTGTGGCTCAAGTAGTAGAGCTCTATCCTTGAGCTGAAGAGCTGAGGGACAGCGCCCAGGCCCAGAGTTCAGGTCCCACGACTGGATCCCCTCCCCCGCCCAAAAAAAAAAGTTCAGAAACAGCATCCAGGCCTTGAGTTCAAGCCCTACAGCTGACAAAAACAAAAAAGCCAGAAGTAGATCTGTGACTCAAGTAGTAGAGTACTAGCCTTGAGCAAAAAGGCAGACCCTGAGTTTTAAGTCCTAGGAGACACACACACACACACACACACACACACACACACACACACACACACACACACACACACACACACACACACACACACACACACACACAGAAAAGAAAAACAATTAATTAGTTCAAGAAATTGAAATTCAAAAACAAAATGCAAATATGAATATTAAAATAAGTTAAAGTTCAAAAATACACAATTAATTTTGTGTTAAGGGAACAGGATTTCCTGAGCTTCCATTAGGGATGTATCTCAGCGTTTTAAGCCCATAACAGAGCTCAGTAACTACTGAATGAATTAATGAAATAGAATTACAAGTTTCCATATTTTGTTTTTTCATTTGTTTAGCGCACACATGCACATGTGCATGTATGTGTGCTGGTCCTGGGGTTTGAACTCAGGGCCTGAGTGTTGTCCCTTAGCCCTTTTGTTCAAGTCTAGCAGAGATTTGAGTCTCATACACTTTTCTGCCCAAATTGGCTTCAAACCATGATCCTCAGATCTCAGCCTTCTGAGAAGCTAAGATTACAGGTGTGAGCTACTAATGCCCAGGTCTTTGGTTGTTTTTTTCTTGGCTTGAATTTGGGCCTCTTACTCTCACTTCTCTTTTAGCTCACAGGTGTCACTCTACTACTTGAACCTCCACTTCTGGCCTTTAACTGGCTAACTGGAGATAATAGTCTCAGATTTATCTATTCAGGCTGGTTTCAAACTGGGATCCTCAGATCTCTACTTCCTATGTAGGTAGGATTATAGGTATGAGCCACCAGCACTGGTGGCTCTATGGCTTTACCTTAAAAACAAAACAACATAAAAAAAAAAAAAAGTAAAACCTGAACATAAAGAACTCATTCTATGAGCTCCAAACTGATGCAGAGCCAGATATTTTGGAGAAGGCATTTACACATTCTTAGAAACCACAGTACTTAGAAATAAAGATGGCTCTCAACCAAAACTGACATCACCGCCATCTCTATTACTACCACCACCAACACCACCACTATCAGTGCAGGAACTAAAATGCTGAGTTAAAGTCTTTTCTCTGCACATCTGATACTGCAAGGGAGGCCAAGGTGGAAATGAAAAGAGAAGCCAAATGAGAAGCAGCAGCAGGGACTTACTGTCTGAGGCGGAGGAGGACTCGTCTTCATTGTCATCATCCTCCCACTGAGACTGGAAGTCTCCAGGCCGAAGTAGCACTTTGTCTGGCTTTGAAGTAGGCAGGACAGACATAGACTGGGAAAGCGGTGTTTTCTGCAAATTCGATTTGGAAAACAAAGTCTTGATCTTTGATTTCTTTTTCTTGTCTTTTGAAAAAGATTCATCATCACTGTCTATGGAGGGTGTCACACTGGGGACAATGGCAGAGGCCGTATCAGACATACTATCCTTATTCTTCCCTTTGATCTTGTCTTTCAGTTTTCCAAATGGGTTCCGAGGTTTGTCTTTCATTGAGAGGTCAAACATGCTAGCAGTCATGTTGTTTCTCATGAACTGGATATCCACCTCAATTTCTCCACGCTCTTTGTCCTTCTTTCCTGGCTTAGATCTTAAGGTATACCACCTAAAGGGAAGAGAGGCTGAGAGGTTACCTTTGGGCGCAAGAGTTTACAACAGTGCTTATGATCCCCATTAACGGGCCTCTCCTCTTTGCTCCTCCAACCTCTTCAACAAATGCATTTTTAGGCTTTCTCTTTGGTGAAATGGGTGCTGAGGGCAAAATTTGTACCTTTATTTCTTAATTGATTTTTGTGTGCTGGTGATGAACCCAGGGCCTTGAGCATGCTAAGCTGGAGCTATACCTCCAGCCCTTATAATCATCTAAAATCCTGATCCATTAAAAGCTATTTCTAAAACTAAAAAGCTGAGCACAGTGGGTCACACTTATAATCTCAACTAACTTGGATTCTGAAACAGAGGGTCACTTGAGCATAGAAATTTCAGGCCAGCCTAAGCAACAGAGCAAGACCTTGTCAAAATTAATTAATTAATTAATATAAAAAGCTGGACTGGGAGTCAGTGGCTCCCACCTATAATTCTAACTACTCAGGAGGCTGAGATCTGAGGGTAACAGTTCAAAATCAGCTAGGTAGGAAGTACAGCTGTGGCTCTAGTGGTAGAGCACTAGCCTTGAGAAAAATTAACATAGTAAAAATAGCAATTCTGCCCACAGCAATATGCAAATTCAATGCAATACCCATAAAAATCCCAACAACTTTCTTCAAGTAAATACAGAAACCAATCCAAAAATTCATATGGAATAATAATAAAAGACCCACACAATCCTTAGCAGGAAGAACAGTGGTAGAAGAATACCAGTACCAAACTTCAAGCTTTATTACAAAGCCATAGTAATAAAAGTAGCTTGGTACTGGCACAAGAATAGGCCTGAGGACTAATGGCACAGAATAGAAGAGCCAGAAAAAAGCTCACAAATATACAGCCACCTAATATTTGATAAGGGAGCCAAAAACACAGGTTGGAAGAAAGACAGCCTCTTCAACAAGTGGTGCTGGCAAAATTGGGTATCTGCATGCAGAAAACTGAAGCTAGAAACCCATATATCCCCTTGCATCAGAATCAACTCTAAATGGATCAAAGACCTCAATGTAAGATCAGATACTGTGAGGATATTATAGGAGGGGCTGGGAAGGTGGCTCAGTGGTAGAGTGCTTGCCTTGCATGCATGAGGCCCTGGGTTGGGTTGGATTCCTCAGCACCACATAAGCAGAAAAAGCCAGAAGTGGCACTGTGGCTCAAGTGGTAGAGCACTAGCCTTGAGCTGAAGAGCTGAGGGACAATGCCCAGATCCAGATTTCAGGTCCCACGACCGACCAAAAAAAAAAGAAAAGAAAAAAAATATTACAGGAAGAGGTAGGGAACCCTAAAGCTTCTAGGCAGAGTGAAACTTCCTGAACAAAATCACAGAATCACAACAAATCAAAGAAAGGCTGCATGCATGGGATTGTATCAAACCGAAAAGCCTCTGCTTAACAAAGGACATAGCTAGCAAGATAAATAGAAAGCCCACAGAAAGGGAGAAAAGCTTCACTAGCTATACATCTGACAAGGGCCTCATATCCAAAATATACTTAAGAGCTCAAAAAATTAACCCTCCCCCAAAATAAACCCTCAAAACCACAATAATCCAGTCAATAAATAGGCCAAAGACCTAAAGAGAGACTTCTCCAGAAGAAAAAAGAATGGCTAATAGACACTTGAAGAAATGTTCAACATCTCTGCCCATAAAAGATATGCAAATCAAAACAACATTGAGATTTCACCTTACTCCAGTTAGAATAGCCATTTTCAGGAAAACCAACAATAACAAATGTTGGTGGGATATGGCCAAAAGAGAACCTTATTACACTGTTGGTATGAATGTAAATTTGTTCAACCACTCTGAAAAGCAGTATGGAGGTTCTTTAAAAGAGGAAACAAGAGCTTTCCTATGACCTGGCAATTCCACTCCTGGACATTTATCCAATGGATCACAAACCAGGCCAAAGTAAAGCCACCAGCACAACCATGTTTCTTGCAGCATTGTTCACCATAGCCAAGATATGGAATCAACCTAGATGGCCCTCAGTGGACAAATGGAACAAGAAAATTTGTATGTGTGTGTGTGTGTGTGTGTGCATACAATAGAGTTCTACTCATCCATCAGAAAGAATAATATTGTACCATTCATTTGTAAGGAAATAGACTTGGAAAAAAAATTATATTAAGTGAAGTAAGCCAGAGCCAAAGAAATATAGGCTACATGGTTTCCCTTACTTATGGTAACTAGAATGTGCCTATAAATCTACTGAATGACCAAAACAAATGAATAAAATTGGGACATGATAAATTATATAGGACCCTAATCATTCACATTCAGAGGCCCAAGGAAGCCAAGCATAGTAGTAGGCAAAGGTTCAATAGTTATGGACAGATGATCATATAAAATAATAGTTTATGAAATGAACTCCAAAAAAAGGAAACAAGAGACACTCTTTAGTTGCTATTGTTGCTGTTTTCATTCTCTTCTTTTGTAATGTGAGTTGGTTTGCATTGGAAGAGTAAAGGAAGGCACATAAAAGGTGGAACAAAGATGAACAGATACAACAGTGATACTCACCCAGACACTATGTAGAAAATGACTAGATATCTTATGGGTGGGGAGTGAAGGGAAGGATTGGGAGAGAGCCACGGAAAGGGAAAAATGGTTCAAAAGGAATTGTACTGATTGTACCTGAGTCATGTAACTGTAACAACTGTAACCCCTTTGTATATCAACTACACAAAAACAATTTTTTAAGTAAAAAAAAAAAAATGCTCAGGGACAGCTCCCATGCTCTGAGTTCAAGCCCCAAGACTGCACTAAATAAATAAATCAATAAATATTAAAAAGCTGGGCAGGGCAGGATGACACACAACTATAATCCTAGATACTTGGGAGGTAAAGGCAGTAGATTCACAAGTTTGAGGCCGGTCTCAGCAAAAGTTAGTAAGACACTTTCTCAAAAACAAAAATGGCTAGCAGTGTAGCTCTGTGCTATTGCTTTTGTCTATTAGGTACAAGGCCTTGAGTTCTATTCTCAGTACTACAAAAGGCTAAATTATTTTACCATAATTTGGTGTGGGGGGAGGGGGAAGAAACTAGAAAGAAGGTAGTACACTTTGGCTTACTATTATAAAAAAAAAAAGAATATTTCAAATATCATTCAAGTATTTCACTTAATCACTTAACAAACTACCTCAAGATGTGGTAAATGACATTATAGCAGCCCCACTCAGATGACAAGAAAACTTCAGGAAAAGCAATCTCCTTGGCATCCATTTTCCAGCTGGAAACTCAACACCTTTGGTGAACCATGAGGCCTATCTGCCAACAGAACCATTAAGGGACAGCCAAGACCAAATAACCTGGCCTAACAAGGGCCATCCACAGGTCACCTTGCAAATGGAGAACCTACATTCTGATGTTTTTTTTTTCAGTGACCTATTTAAGAACCAATGGCGATGGGCTTTAAGGAAATGATGGTTTTGTCCAAATGAATATAACTTCCTCTCTCACTTTCAGCTGCAGCAGGCTCAAAGGGCAGATTGCAGGCCCCAATAGTTGGCTTGTTCTATACAGAAATGCAAGGGGCAGAGGAAAGTAGAAAGCTAACACTTGACCAGCACTGACAGCATACCAGGTACAATATGCACTTAACAGACAACCTCCTATAAGTCTCACAAGAATAACACAATGTGGATATTATGCCCACTTCCCCAATGAGGAAATCAGAGCTCACAAAGTGGCTCATTGGTACAAAATCCCATGGCTAGTATGAAGACGGCTAGGATTCTAAATCCTTTCTGCATTTTTCCAAAGCTCTTCTTTCTCCCCACCAAGGCTTCTACTTTAAATCCTCTCCTAATCCATCTTTTGTAGCAGAGAAAAGGGAGAAGTCTCAAATTTCAACTCTTTTTGAAGAAGCTTAAGATTTGTGTGTATATTCACATGGTTTTTGTTTTGTTTGTGCTGCTACTGGAGCTTGAACTTTAGCTATTTTACTCAAAGCTGTCTTTTTGGTGGCTAATAGGAGATAAGAGTCTCAGACTTTGCTGGCTAAGCTCTTAGAACCATGATACTCAGATCTCAGCCTCCACAGTTGCTAGGATTACAGGTCTGTGATACTGGAGCATGGCTCAAATTTTTGTTTTGCTCTTCAGGGTATGGGATTCAGGGCCTTGAGCATGCTAGGCAAGTGCTCTACCACCTCTAGCTTATAAGCTTAATTTAAATGGCCCCCAGTAAGGAAAGAATTTGAAAACCCCATTATAACTGCTATCAATAATAAATCATATGACTATATAAAGCCTAATACACTATCTTTAAAAAATTAAAGTAAAGTAGGGCACCGGTGGCTCATGCCTACCTACTCAGAAGGCTGAGATCTGAGAATCGTGGTTTAAAGCCAGACGTGGCAGGAACATCCTTAACTACCAGAAAACCAGAGGTGGCACTGTGGTTCAAGTGGTAGAGTACTTGCCTTGAGCTGAAGCACTGAGGGACAGCACCCAGGTCCAGAGTTCAAGCCCCACAACCGACATACCGACATACATACATACATAAATGTAAAGTGACGAAATACAGCCAAGATGTGAACTACTATTTTGAACCTTTTATTTTGAAGCTTTTATGAGAAAAAAGAGAGAAAAGTATTCAGTATTAGAAGATACAAGGTCTCTGGAGCCAATTTCTCTCCCCAATCAGCCTTGTGTTTTCTAGGACCTGGCCTGGAATACTTTGCATATTTGTCATTTAGATGTTGAGAGGATTATTTGTATTTTTCTCCTCTGGTGGTCATGTGGTTCACAGTAGCTTGGTGATGAAGGGGGTTTGGCTTTTGTAAACACCAGTTGTAGGCCCCTGCAAAGGAGATAGGCCACAGGGAACAGAGGCCTCACATCCTCCACCCAGGGAAGAGGGGCTGCAGGGCTTCCCCACCAGCCCTTCCCCAGCCCTTCCCCACCGGCTTCTGCCAGCCCTTCTCCCCAGAGATGAAACTATACAGTTCTTCTAAGAATGCC